TAGACGATGAAGGACATGTCGTAGAAGCCGCTGGCTGGAGCGCCGTTGTCCATCAGGGTGCCTTGGTAGGTAAACGAGTCGGTGATGGGCTGCGCGGTCGCGTGTGTGGTCGTGATGGTTGTCGCGGCAAGGATTGCTGCGAGAGCGGTCGAACGGATGTGCATGATTTGGTCTCTCCCTGGAATGAATTGATCAGAGACAACTTATCAGAAAGCTTGGATCGTATCAATATGAATTTTGAATGGGTATCGTGAGAAAGACACGAGAACTGATGTCTCGTGTCTTTGTGCAGATTGATGGATGTTGTCGAGTGCTGAACAGGAGTGTCAGGATTCGGCGGTCTCGGAGTCGGTTGCTGATTCTGACTCTGCGGGTGCGGTGTCTTCTTCGCCTTGACGCTTCTTGACGCGGACATATCCGAGTCGCTCGGAGAGCGTTTCGAGGATGAAGGGGGACTCTCCGGATTCGTCGATCGCTGTTTGAATGTCGCGTCGTCCCTGTCCGGCGAGGATCTGGTAGATGTTGATGTCGAAGACTTCCTGAGTCATCGGACGAGGAGCGACGACTTTCGCGAGTGCGATCGCTTTGGAGCTTGGGATCACGGCGCTGACGAAGATCGGGGATGCTTCGATGCTCTCAGGGGATGCGAGCTGGTCGAGACCTGCAGTCGCTTCGTGCACGGCGTTGCGGAACGCTTCGCTGTTGAGCGCTGGTTCGACAAAGCTCGCGAGACGACCACGCGCGACATTGTCCTGGGTCACAAGCAGGTTGCGCGCGACTCCTGGACGCACGGCTTCGGTTGGGCCGAGCTTCATCGCTTCGCTGATCGCTGGGACGAGGTCTGCTTGGGACTGTGCGAGTGATGCGAACGATTCGAGGTTCTCGCTGAGCAGTTCGTACGCTTTGACGCTCTTGTAGTCGTTGACGACGCGGTCGCGTCCGACATCGTCGATCGAGTCCGCTGGTCCGGCTTCGTTGACATCGTAGATGATCGCGTAGTAGCGATTCCCGATCGCGTCCTCGGCGGCGGGATCAACGAGCGGGATGCCCTTCTGGATGTGCATCAGGGCGCTCATCTCTTCGGAGTCGAACGCTTGTGGGAGCAGGTACGCTGGGAGTGGGCGCTGACCGATGCGGAACGCTGAGGTTCCGAATCCAGCGAGCGTGGAGAGGTCGAGGTTGTTGAGCCAGCGATCGGAGTGGATCTCGACAGCGGGGAGCGGGACATCCGCGTCCAGCTGTTCCTTGGTTCCGCTGACGACGGCTTGGGCGAGCGACTCGAGCGTCGGACGCGTGGTGTCCCAGTCTTCCGGGATGATGTAGTCGTCGCCTTCTTTGTCGAGGGTGCGTGTTGCTTGGAGGATGCGCGAGCGGATGATCTTGTCCGCTTCGATCATGAGATCCAGTGCACGATCGGTGCGGTAGCTCCGCTCGATGTTGAGACGCTCTCCGGCGAAGTCGCCTGGGTAACGCTGTTGTTCTTGTGGGAGCTGGTGATCGGTGCGCCAGATCTTGTTGAGCTCGACGCGGTCAACGACGATGCTCGATGCGATCGCTTCTTTGTCGAGCATGAGCCAGCCGACTTTGACGCGTGTGGGTTGGGTGTATCCGATCGCGTAGTCGTTGTCCGATGGAGCGTCCGCTTTGTACTGATCGAAGAACGCTTGGAGTTCTTCATCGCTCGGATTGGGGATCGCTGGAGCGATGGTTGATCCCTTGATGACCGCGGCGTCCACAGCGATCGCGTCGTAGCGCTGCTTCGCGGCGTCCATCGCGCCGATGTCCGAATAGGAGGGGACGGACGAGTAGACGCGGTAGAAACGCTCGATGCCGCGTGCGGTCGCGAGGGTTCGGTAGACATCGTCTTCCGTCGCGCCTTGCGCCATTCCTGTTGCGAGCGCGACATTGCGTTGCAGTTGGGGTTCGTATTCAGGTGCGAACTGGGCGACGGCTTGATTGAACTCCGCTTCGCTGTTGAACTGGATCTGCCCCTGCTGTGCTCGTTGCTGGAGTGAGAACGCGGCGTTGCGTCGTGCGAGTTCTGGGATCCAGGTGATGCCTTCTCCCGCGTCTCCGACGAGTCCCGCGTCGTTGGCGAGCTTGCTCAGCAGGAGCCAATGGAGTTCCGCTTCGTCGCCGTTGCTGGACTGATCGATCCCGAGTCCGCCTTGCTGGGTGGGGAGGAGGAGGAGCGGGGAGATGCGTTTGATGACCGCGAGGTCGAAGGATGCTCGTTGGTAGTCGAATCCGTTGAACTTCGTGCCGTCGCTGAGTTGTGCGACTGTTGCTTTGCGTGGATCAGGGGAGAGCTTCCCGATGATCGGCTGGAACAGGAACACGACCATCAGCAGCGAGCCGCCTACGGCGAGGATGATGAGTTGGTACTTGCGGATGAACTTGAGCATGTCGGCTCCGTGCTATCTGTGCAGTTGGGTCGCGTCCAAGCATTGAACGCGTTGGTCGATCATACGAACGATCAAAAAGCAAATCCCCGGCGTTGGCCGAGGATTCGCATGATTTGCATGGTCTCCAAAGCCTTGGTTCGCGTTGCAAAGGCTTGCCAGAGGCATCCCGCATCGCGTGTTCCAAACTTTGGGGGGGTTAGCGGTAGAATTCGATGATGAGGTTGGTGTTCACATCGAATGGGATCTGGTCCTTGGTTGGGAGGGCCGCGATCTTGGTGTTGAGTTCCGATGGGTTGAACGCGATCCAACCTGGGACCTCGTGGCCGCCCATGGATTCCATGTTCTCGCGGACGACCTTCTCGATCTTCGGCTTCACCGTGATCACATCACCGACGTCGAGACGACGCGAAGGGATGTCGCACTTGTGACCGTTGACGAGGACGTGGCCGTGGGAAACGAGCTGACGCGCGGACCAGATGGTGCGGACCATGCCAGTACGGCGGACAACGTTGTCCAGACGACGCTCGAGGAGCTGCATGAGGACGTCGCCCGAGTTGCCTTGCTTGGACTTCGCTTCTTCAACAGTGCGGCGGAACTGCTTCTCGAGGATGTTGTAGTGGTAGCGGAGCTTTTGTTTTTCGACGAGGCGGATGCCGTAGTCACGCAGACGGCGACCACGGAAGCCGTGCATACCTGGAGGGGTGAGCTGACGCTTTGAGGTGTGCTTTGGTGTGTCACAGATGGGGACACCAACACGACGCGAGAGACGGACCTTTGGTCCTGTGTATGTAGCCATAGCGGCTTCCTTTCTTCCGTCCGCAGTGGGCTGGCTTTCAACCAGTTTCCTCTGCGGTGCTACTTGGGAGTAGCGACCATGTCGGTTGGCCGAGACTTCGGTCCGACGGCTTGGCCCGGGCACGATGCCCAAGGGGAGAGGATTGAAGGCGAGAAGAGGGTGGATGTCAAGGATTGGGGAGGGGTTATGAGGGGGGGAGGGATACCGAATAGATGCCTAGTATAGAAGGAGGGGAAAGTCGCTGGTAAGCAGAAAGGTTTCACTTGAAGTGGTCAAGTATAAATTGGGAACGTGCTACGACGATTCCAGCAATCGACTTTGTCTGTTGGCAATGTGCAAATCAGGTTGGTTGCAATCGAGGGTACCATGACACCGGTAACAGCCACTGGATTTATATTTGCCCCCGTTGTTGCGCGCCAAATTTTCATTTGTCAGGTCACCCGACTCACCATGCTCCACACGGCATTGAAGTTCAACATGTTCCTGAGGGCTTAGATGCACTTTATACAGAGGCGAGAAAATGTATCTCTGCCGGTGCGCCTACAGCAGCCACGATGGCGTGCAGGAAGATTTTGCTTGCACTGGCTGTTGACATGGGCATGGATGTTCAGCAAGCAAAGAATTTTGCTGTATGTGTTAAGTGGATGTTTGACGAAGGACATTTGCCAAAGACTTGGGAAACTTGGGTCGATCACATTCGAACTAAAGGAAATGAGGCTGTTCATGAACTCCCCGAAACGACTCATGAAGAATCAGTTATGTTGGTAGACTTTGTTAGAATGATTTTGCAAACCCATTTCGAGGCTCCAAAGAATTTGCAGATTCCGGAGTAATGGGAGCATTTTGTTTATGGACGGCACAGGTTGTACAAGTTGTGGAAGGTTCATTCCAGCTAGTGAGCCGGCACGCATTCTAAATGCCGTACCCGTGTGTCGTGAGTGTGCTGATGAGCAAGATCCTCGTTGCCCTTACTGCGACGAATTGCTCGACAAATTGCCGAAGCGTGCAAAAAAGTGTCCTCATTGTGAAAAGCGGATGTTGGTAAGAACAAAGCAGACCGTTTTTGCAACGAGCCTTTTGACAGAGAATGAAGCACTTGAGATCGATTGGCTTCCGCGATTGGAAACGCATGGGATCGACTACAACACATACCGCAGGATCAAGAGTGAGTTAAAATCACGTGGTCAAGGTTTCGGTTCTGCTGACTTCGTTTGGGCTGCTTTCAATCAAGCATTTGGCGCGGATGCCATTCAACTTGCCTTTGACATGGCACGCTTTCTTTTTGAGACTGGTCGTGATCCAAACCAACAACTTGCAATCGTCGCAAAGGCGCGATTCAGTGATTGGGGCAATGCAGGAGTAGAGACTGTCACTATCAATTCAAAGGATTGCTGTGTGAGTTGTCGGAGATTGCATGGGAAGCAACTTACTTTGAGTGAAGCACAGTCGGATACCTCAATTCCTCAAACCTGCTGCACTAGGGAATCAAGTGATGGCGGTCCAGCCTGGTGTGTCTGCTCGTATTCACCTGACTGGGACTAGTTCTTACTCACCAATGGCGGGTGGCATGCAGGTGCCGTCTTCGGCTCCTGCATGTCTTTGAATCGCACTCCAATCCAAGAATCGTGGAGGAGTTGAAGACAACACCTCCACGCCACCCTTCCAAATCACCACGCCCAACCGTCCCAAGGATGACAAACCCCCACCCAGGGGTTTGTCATCCTTGCATTCGTACACACTCTCTACCCCCTCTATCTCTCTCAAAACCCAAGGATGACAAGCGGGAGTGGGAGGGTTTGTCAACCTTGCACAAAGCCGTTGTCCTCGTAGCCGTGGAGTCGTGCGAGTTCGTGGAGGTCGGATTCGTCGTCCAGTTGCTGCTCATACACCAACTCATCCGGCTCCGGATCAACGATCGTCCCTTCGAGCGACTCGTCATCCAAGCCTCGAATCTTCCAGTACCACTGCTCGTCCCTGCGGAACGCTTCGACCGCGAGCGCCCGCTTCGCTCTGTTGAGTGTTCGCCAGTTGATCCCACACCCCTCCGCATCCTCGCGCAGTTTCGTTGCCAGCTCAGGACCCTCCCCCAGCGCCTCCTCGAGGAACCGCTTCGCCTCCTCCATCGCGCTGGGCGTGGACCTTGCCCCCTCGAACGCCTGCTCGATCGAGTCCGCGTCCCATTCGATGTCTTCATCGAGCCACACCACTCTCCCCTCGTCGATCCGGTACACGCGAGGCGACGACTCCTCGCTCAGGTTGTTCTTCACCGGCGCGACCACACGCTTGCTCGCATCGTCGGGATGCTTGCTCACCAGATGCACGGCTCGCGCCGCCGCGGTAAAAGCAAGCGACCCCATCGCGCGATAGATCGCACGCTTGCCCCCCGCGTCCTTGTTCAGGTGCGTGACGCAGACGACCGCCGCGCCGGTCCACTGCGCGAGACGCGCGAGCTGCGCGAGGACGGATCGGACATCGGCGTTGTTGTGCGAATCGGTCTTGCCCATGTACGCGCTGATGGGATCGATGATGATGAGCTTGAGGTTCTCGATCTTCTTGAGCGTCTGCGCGAGCAGACGGATATCGGTATCCAGTTGAGTCAGATTCACGCACCGACCCATCGGCTGCACAACCCCCTCGAACAGATGAATCCGCGACAGGTCCGCGCCCATCGCTTCGAGGCGAGGACGGATCGTGTCGCCCGCGTCGTCCTCCGCGTTGAGCAGCACGACCTCGCCGGGACGCTCCGGGATCGCGAGCTTGGTGGGTCGGTTAGAGGCGTCGCTCGGATCACGATCGAGCGACTCGCGATGGTTGCGTTCAAAGTCCGACAGCGTCGCTCGCAGCTGCATCTCATGCTCCACGGCCCGCGTCGCCGCTCTGGGCAACTCCCCACGCGAGACACGCGCCGCCATGTCGAGGGTGATGAAGGACTTGCCCAGTCCCGGATCACCCGCGATGAGCGTGAGCTTCCCCAGCGCGATGCGTCCCTCCTCAAGCCAACGGATCGGCGTGGTCCTGTACTGGTTCATCGACTTGATGACCACACTGCGATCATCGGTCTGGTTGGTGTCGGTCACTTCCTGATAAGGCTCATTCATATCCATCTCCTATTGCACTCGCGCGCGTCCCCACGACGCGCCTACCAGATGGACCGCGCGGACACATCCGTGCGCACAAACCCGGTCACTCGGAGCTCAAAACAGCAGCGGCGGGGGTGGTCGCCTATATAGGTATGAAATTAATTTTGGAATCTGAGATTCGCGCGAGCAATTCGCCGCAGATTTGTGCGCACAAAAGTGGTGTATCCCGACTCGTCGACTACTCGTCGACTACGCGTAGTCTTTGGCGCATGAAAAAAGCCGGGGTGTCCCGGCTTGTGGTTCAATACTGGACTCAAGATGAGAATATGTTACGGGATCAGACACTCAAACTTGTTATATGAAGTTGCTTGTTCAAAGCCGTTGAAGTCTGAAAAAATCTGCCATTCAAGAACAGCGTACAAAACAGGGTCAAACGGAAATGGGGGTGTGAGGGCGCAATCAACGACTAGAGTTGGAGGCATGTATGGTGGGTTGCTGGGGAACTGATCGTGCCCGTCGAAGAGTGTCACACATACTCCCGAGCAACTGATCTGTGGATACGCGTGCGACGCGTTATTGATACGCCATCTCTCCCACCCAGCTAGATCTGTTCGATTTCCTCGGTAGACGATTGTGATGGTTTGGCCATTGTAGTCTGCATCCCATAATGGTTTACGTGTGTCACCACCTTCATACCCGTTCCGGAAGAAGCGAATAGCAACAGTTTCATCCGGCGTGTCAAAGTACGACTCCGGAAGACCATCGCAATCTTCATTGTTTGGCTCGCAGGTACTGGAGAAGGTCACGACAATACTCGATTCGAGCACGCCTCCTGGATCGATGTCCGGATCGTCGTCGGGATCGTTCGGTGTGCCGCAGTCGCTGACGCATCCGATCAGATTCACGGCTGTGAGCTGCGAGGAATCCAGCTCTCCTGGGAAGATCGAGACGAACCCAATCTCGTTGGAGTTGTACTCCGCGTAGCTGCCCTCGCAGCTGGAGAGGTCGTTCTTGGTGAAGATGGGCGAACCGCCGGCGCATGGGGTGATCATGTAGATCGGACCCGGACAGCAGTCGCCGTTGGGACCGAGATTGAACTGCGCAACCCACGCGGTGTAATCCCCGGCATCGAGGACGCCGTTCTGATTGACATCCGCGAGCGGATCATTGTTGTTGAAGTTGTTGATCCACGCGGTGAAGTCGGCCGCGTCAACGACGCCGTCCTGGTTCTGATCCGCGAGACAGTACGAGCCGCACTGCGCCGAGGCGCTCGATGCGATCGCGAGTGAAAGAACGGATGTGTGAATAATGGATGATGTGATATTCCTAAGTCTCATTGATTCTCCTTTCATAATGAGTACTCAGAAGGTAATAGATTGGAGTGGTGGTATGTGAGCGAGTTGTGTGAATGTTGTAAGAATGGGTCTTTTTGGGGGTGTGTTATGTTGAGGAGTGGGGAGGGTGTTGGGTGGGGGGTTGTCTATAGAGGTAGGAAATTCAATTTGAATCTCAGGAGCACGCGAGCAAAACGCTGCACATCTGTGCGCACAAAACCCGCGTATCGCAGCTGTTCATATACCGAGTGGGACAGAACTTGTATTTCTAACCAAGTCGCATATCGATGCGGTGTACGCATTCCTGTTATACTCTCCGCATGGAAATCAGCAGAAGTGCCTTGTTCATTGTGTTCGGATTGATGTTCCTCTTGATCGTCGCCAACGGCGTCGCACGCGTGATGGAACTCAAAGGCGTTCTCAAACGAGGGACCACGATGTGGAAGTTCTACATCGTCCTCCGCATCCTCCCCGCGATTCTCGGAGTCGCGATCGCCGCGTTCGTTGTGTGGTACTTTTTGGGAACCTGATGGGATCCGTCAGTACGATGGTCCTTCCTATTCAGTCCGGAGTACGCGATCCACACCGGTCACTCTCTCGTGATGATGAGTAGTACTCGGGACGAATCCTTACGGACATCCCGCCGAGAACAGTGTGAGGAACGCGGAGACATCGAGGAAGTTGAGGTTCCCGTCGCCGGTGAAGTCGGCTTCGCATTCATCAAGACTCGGATCATCGACACTCCGAACAATCACGCGGAACCCGCCATCGTCACCAGTAGGAAAACCCGGATTCCATCTGGTGTCCCCAGAGGGGCCGATTAAGCCGACCGTCGCACCGCTGTCCGTTGAATCGACCAGGTAATCCGCGGGGTCATCGGGGAGCGAGGTCATCGAGAGGCTGAACTCGCCGCGAGGGGGGGTCACGCCGAGTAAAATGGACCCGCTGGGCGTGTTGAGCTGGATGTTATACTCATCGGTGAAAATGATGTACCTGAAAGTCCCTGTGACGGGAATCGGCGCGGGCGGTTCGCTCAGGTACATCGGTGAGTCGCTCGTGTGTGTTGCGGGATCAACCGCGCGTGCATTGAGCACATCGAAGGAGATAGTGCCTTCTGAGCTGTCTGTAGGACCGGCCGTCGTATCCAAGACAACACTGAAATCGATGTTCGCCGTGAAAGAATCACCGGCGGTAACGACACCAACCACATCCACCCGGATGTAGTTCTGCGCAGAAACAACAGAAGCAGCAAAACCAAGTACGGCAACAGCCGCGAGAACAGTTGAACGAATCAGCATGGCGAGATCTCCCTTAGAGTGACAAACAGAAAATCCCAATATAGCGATACTCTCGCAGAACTCCAAGGGTAATTACGCAGATCTCCCCCAGCCCACCATTGCGGAGGGATGCAAACAACCAAGAGTTGAGCAGACACAACGAGTCCTTACGGACATCCCGCCGAGAACTGCGCGAGGAACTCGGAGACATCGAAGAAGTTGAAGTTGCCGTCGTACACGAAGTCCGCGATGGGGTCCTGCATCCCGAATGCACTGAGAAACGCGGAGACATCGAGGAAGTTCAGGTCGCCCTCTCCAGTGAGGTCCGGAGCGCATGAGCTTCCCAATGAGAACACATAGACCGATCCGATCCCGCCGTCGCTCCGCGCCGCATCCGGCGATCCCACCAGCATATTCGAGTCGCTGATCGCGACCGCTGAACCAAAGAAATCGTTCGCGGATCCATCACTCGCTTGGAGCTTCATGAGCTGCTGACCAGTGTTGACATCAAACACATACGCTGATCCAGAACGCACACCATCAGCTGTGTCCTTCTGAGCACCGATTACGGCTTGAGTTCCATCGATCGACACCGCGAATCCGAACTGGTCGTCCGCTTCTCCATCCTCAGCGAGCAGCTTGCGGAGCATCTGTCCTGTGGTTGTGTCATACACATACACAGCACCCGACTCCAGTCCGTTGTCATCATCAAGGTGTGCACCGATCACAGCGATGTTCCCATCGAGAGCGACCGATCGACCAAAGAGATCCGAAGTACTCCCATCTGCAGGGACAAGCTTGTGCAACTGCTGACCAGTGATCGCATCAAACACATAGACCGAACCAGAACTCCCGCCGTTGTCATCGTCTTGGGGAACCCCAACAAGGATCGTGCTCCCGCTGATCGCTACGCGATCTCCGAACTGGTCTCCGAGCGATCCATCATCGGGAACGAGCTTGTGCAGCTGCTGACCGGTCGTCGCGTCAAAGACATACGCCGCTCCAGAGTTTGGAACGATCGCATCGTTGAGAGGCGATCCAACCACAATCAGATTTCCGCTGATACCGACCGAACTCCCGAAGCGATCGAGTCTTGAGCGATCATCCGCGACGAGTTTATTGATTTCTTGTCTTGTGGTGTGGTCGAACAGATAGACCGCTCCCGCGTCTTGCTCTGGGAACCCCTTCCCATCATCAAAGATGTTCCCGACGACGACTAGATCCCCATCGATCGCAACAGATGAACCAAACCCCGCGATCGGATCCGCCTCGGGAACCAACCGAATGATCTGTTGACCAGTGGTGACATCAAACAAGTACCCGCTCTTGATGACAGCGAACGAGCCGTCCATCGCAAGCAGATCGCTATTGAACGAGCTCCAGTTTGACCCGTCCGATGGTGCCAGCGTGTCCGACTCTGTCGTGATCTGTGCCCAAGCTTGGTGTGATCCAAACAACGATAGGATCGCTGCTGCGTATCGAAGTCTGTGAATGCGGGTCTGTATCATGGAGTCCTCGATTCATTCCTAAGCGATGTCTGGGAGAATCCGATATATACGCCCATTCTAACATCACGGCGATTCTTCCACAAGAGACTTCCAGCGCGATTCCCTGAGCATTCCCAAACCTTCATATATCCATTCCGGTACTGAGATCGCATGATATTGAAGTTATCGTGTAAATCTGGGGAACCTGCACGCTCTGGATGTGCCGCGTCATGATAACTCAAGCGATCAGCATGCCGATTCGTCGCTTTTGGTCGAATCCGTGTCATGCTGCATCTGAAGCTGTAAATACAGAGAAAACAGGAGTACGAGGACGGTTATTGACAACAGTCATTGACAACTGAAGAACAGACGAGGAGTACGTTATGAATCCCCAAAGCAGCCCAGCCGCCGAGCGGACCTTCCCATGGAAGTCCATTCGAATCAACATTGGCATGTTCTGTATCGGGGTGCTCGCGACCTACGCCTTGATCATGTTCTCCAGCGCCTTGTTGATTCCAGGACGAGCGATCAACCCGATCTTCTCCTCCGAACCCCCGGCTCCACGAGCAACAATCGTCGGACGCATGGAGCAAGACTCCGATCAGATCACGATGAACCAAGCGCAGCCGAGCAAGATCGTGCAGATCGATCGCAGCGAGTACTGCCAGCAAGTCGCGACCTCGGTGTTGCTGCGGTTCAATCATCGCATCACCGATGACGAGATCATCTTCATGCGCAACCCAAGAGTCTCCGGAAGCGCGATCCAACAGTTCTCCAGAGCGTTCGGCTACGCGATCGAAACAGGACTCTCTCAAGAGATCCCCGAAGCGAACCGATCATCGCGACCCTGATCAAGCATCCGCTTGAGACGCAGACCTGTACCCGATCGAGAGTCGCCCAACCTCTCAGGTCCGGATCGAACACCCGATCCGGAAGCTGATGGTGAGTCCTCGTTGCGCCCAATCGACGAGATGAAACCTCCCATCAGCGACCACAACGCGCGAGCCGTCACGCTGCCCCAGTGCTCCCCACACGCGGGACAGCAAGGCTCGCCGCGTTTTGTTCATCACACCCGATTCGGGGAAAGAAATCAACAGCACAGACAACCAAGCACACAGGAACTCATCTTCCCTCGGTCTGTACAAACGGGGGATGATGGGTGCCTTGGTGCGCCAAGTTGGAATCACGCCGCTTTCCGCGCTTCGATCTGTTCACGGATCTCACAGCTCCGCTGCTCGTCAAGGTCGTACCCAAGCATCACGATGATCGCGATGAGCGTCCCGAGCATCGGGAGTCCAGAGTACGCGAGCCGCAGCCCGGTCATCGCTTCGGTCGTCTGTGACGAAGCGCCTGGATCGAATCCGACCACATCCATGATGACCCCACCAAGCAGTCCCGCGATCGCGAATCCGAACTTGACCATCCACCAGTAGACCGCGCCGAACACACCCTCGCGCCGTTCGCCCGTGTTCAGTTCATCGAGGTCGCACACATCCGCTGTCATCGACATCATGATCGTGAACAACCCACCAATCCCGAACGCGAACAATGGCAGCGGGATGAACATCAACTCAGGTCTCCCAGGAACAAAGCAGAACCAGAACCCCGCGTACCCAAGCATCGAGACCCCCTGCGAGATGATGAACGCCATCTTCTTCCCGAGCTTCTGCGACATCAGCGTCACCAGCGGGATCACAAGGAAACAAGTCGCCAATGCACTCGCCACCCCAAACCAGGTCGGCCAAGTAGCTGAACCATCCGGACCAGTCACCCCACCAAACATGTAGTGCACGATGATGAAGAACGACATCCCCGCAACCGTGTTAAACGCGTTGAACACAAAGAAGGTCGCGATACAAATCCGCACGAACGGCTTGTTCTTCAGCGACTGCGCAAACCCCTTCGCAACGAGCGACAAGTTCTCACGCAGCGCCCCAAGCGACAAGTCCTTGAGCTTGCTCTCATCGACCGGCTGCGTCTTACAGAAGATCGCGGGGACCATCCCCATCAGCATGCACCCCACACCAACCCAGATCGCGAGGTTCTTCGCGCCCGATGCCGGTCCTTCCGGATACATCTCTGTGTCATAAATAAACACCCAGAACCAAGGCACGATCACCCACGCCCACTGACCGATCCATTGCGAGACCGCCATGAGCCGTGTGCGTTCGTGGAAGTCCTCGCACATCTCGTACCCCATCGCGACATAGGGGGTCGCAAAGATCGTGAGTCCGAGATAGAACACAAACGCCATGAGCAAGAAGTAGGTGAAGTTGTACATCTCGCTCTTCTCAGGATCGAGCTGCCACATAAAGATGTACGCGACGCCCGCGATGATCGACCCAATAAAGATGTACGGCCGACGACGCCCCCAACGCGAACGCGTGTTATCCGACACGAACCCCATCACCGGATCAGTCAGCGCATCAGACAGACGAGGGAGGAAGAACAAGATCCCCCACAACAGCGGACTCATCCCAAGCCCCTGCACCAGCACAACCATGAAGATCCCCAGCGCCGCCGGGAACATCTGATTCCCAAGCATCCCCATGCCAAACGCGATCTTCTGGATCAGCGGGACCTGATTCCCAGTTCGATGTTCAGGATGATGCTCCGCAGAGCTTTCTGTAGATCCAGTAGACGCGTCAAAGTCGGACATCGTGTTCTCCTTGAGCGACCAGTGTAGTGCAGACCTGGATCCAATGCACAGCGTCTCTTAAACCCCCTCAGCGCGATAGATCAAGCGATTTCTCCTTGCTGTGCACACCAATCCGCGTTAGAATCCCGCTCATTCGTTCATTTGTACAGAGAACAAGAGAGAGAACCCAACCATGTCGATCCGTTCATGCACCGCCGCCGCGATCATCGCGGTTTCGTCCATCGCCGCAACCACTACACGCGCTCAGCCCATCAACGATTCCTTCGTCTACCAAGGAACACTCAACGACAACGGCGCACCCGCCAACGGCCTATACGACATCTCCTTCTTCATCTACGACGCCGAGGTCGGTGGGGGAGTCCCAGCAGACGGATTCACAACCGTCTTCAATGTCGAAGTCGTCGACGGCTTGTTCTCGTGCGAGGTTGGCTTCGGAGTCTCCGGACAGCTCTTTGACATCAACCAAACCCATTGGCTCGAGCTCCGCGTCTCCGAAGCGGGACAACCCGGAACCACCATCCTCGCGCCGCGTCAGAAGCTCGTCCCCGCAACACTCGCCAACTACGCCCTTCGCGCCGGACACGCAGAATCCGCAAACTACGCCGAGGACTCAGGAACAACCCTCAACGACGCGTACCGCAACGACAACACCATCCTCTTCCAAGACACCTTCGGCCCGCTCAATCTCGTCGCAACCCCAGCCCAGTCCCCAGTCATCAACATGCGCACAAACCTCGGTGATGATCGTGTGAGATTGGGATTCGATAACTTCGGAGGAGACTCATTCCTCGAACTTTACGGCCTAAATGGAAACCTGTTCTTCGCCGCTGAAAGAGACACCTCGGTAGGTGGAGGCGGATTCGTGTCATTATCGAGAAACGATAACGGGTCCACCGGCATATTCCTCGATGGGAACTACTTCGGAACAGAGTCCCCACGGATGGCTATGTTCGGAACCGCAGGTACCATCCTCCTCGAACCCGGTCAAGTCGACAACGAGAGCGTCGTTCTCCCAAGCAACGCGATCAGCAGCACCGAACTCCTCAACGAGGTGGGTGCCGCGGAAACCGTCGGCGCTGTAACTGTCAACCTCACTGATGACGCCGTTACAATCGATACGATCAACTCCGTCACGATCAACGCCCCCGCAGACGGATTCGCCCTCGTTATTGCCACCGCCGAAGTCGAAGTCGATCACGTCACCGGCTTCACCACCTCAGGTGTGCTAGGAGTGTCAGATTCCACTGATTCCTTTGAAGTCAATACCGACCTCGAAATCAGAATCCCAAGCAGTGCACCCACCGGCCAGTACGACTACCCCATCACCTCCCACGCAATCCTCCCAGTCTCAGCAGGCCCCAACACCTTCTACTTCCTCGGAGACGACAACTCCACCGGAAACGCGACCTTCACCGTCTTCGATCGACAAGTCTCCGCGATCTACATCCCAACCTCCTACGGCTTTCTCGCACTCAACGCAGAACCCAACATCCCGGATGAGTACACCCAGTCCGCACCTCCAATGAACGCCTACGACATCCTCGCAGAGCAGAACGCCGCCCTCCAAGCCGACAACGAGCGCCAACAACGCGAACTCAACGAGATGCGCGAAATGATGGAAGAGATCAAACGCGAGATGCAACGCGAGCAACAGCTCCAATCCCGCGACTGATCCATCCGTTCGTCATCCAAACAAGCACACAGGAACTCATCATCCCCCCGTCTTTACAAACAGGTGATGATGAGTACCTTGGTGCGCCATGTATCGGGAATTTTCCCACCCTGAGACTCAGACTATTCTCTTGCTGAGCATCCCAAACCGCGTTAGAATCCGGCTCATTCGTTCCAAAATCCAGAGAGAGGGACCCCCGACATGTCGATCCGTTCAATCACCGCCGCCGCGATCATCGCGGCTTCGTCGTTCATCACCACCACACCAGCCCACGCGACACCCACCACATTCACCTACCAGGGACACCTCGTCAACGACGGACAACTCGCCGACGGCATCTACGAGTTCCAGATCAGACTCCTCGACGACATCGGGACACAAATCGGATCCACCGAGTTCGCCAACGTCGTCGTCAGCGAGGGTACCTTCACGCTCGATCTCGACTTCGGCCCCTCCGCCTTCGATGGTTCAGAACGTTTCCTCGAATTCGCTGTCCGCTCCGTAGACGACGGCGGATCATTCGTCACCCTCTCACCGAACCAACGTGTCAACGCAACACCAGTCGCCCAGTTCGCACTCACAGGCAACGAAGGACCCCAAGGCCCACAAGGACCCCAAGGCGACCAGGGCCCACAAGGCGAACAAGGTGAACCAGGACAAGACGGTCAAGACGGCGCCGACGGCGCACAAGGCCCCGAAGGCCCCGAAGGACCAGAAGGTCCGCAAGGTCCTGAAGGCCCGCAAGGACCACAAGGAAACCAAGGGCCCGCAGGTGATTCACATTGGGATCGATCAGGGACACGAACCTATTACACAGACGGGTATGTCGGGATCGGGTGGGACGAACCAAACAACCCGCTCTTTGTACGAGCATCGCTCAACGATGAAACCGCGATCTACGCACTCAGTCTCTTTGGTACCGGGATCCGTGGACAATCCACAAAGTCCGAAGGCATCGGGATCTTCGGTCAAGCAACTGCACCCTCAGGCAACAGCATCGGCGGTTTGTTCGAAACACACTCCACTACAGGCACCGGACTCCGCGCATACGCATACGCAAACTCCGGAACCAACTACGCAATCCAAGGATCCACCAACAGCGCCTCGGGATACGCAGGATACTTCGAAGGCGGAAGAAACTACTTCGAAGGACGCGTCGGGGTAGGCACCACCTCACCAACCGACGAGATCCACATCAACGCACCCGCCGGTGAGTCCGCCTTCCGCGTCCAGCACGACGGACTCACACGCATCCGCGTCAACGCCAACGGCGGTGTCTCACTCGGAGGGAACTCCACCATCGTCCCCGCGGGAGACACCTATGTCGTCAACAACCTCGGAGTCGGAGAAAACGAACCAAGCGCCAAACTCCACGTCAACGCCGAATCAGGACGAGTCCCCCTCGAGGTCTTGACCAACGGCACACGACGCATGCACATTTCATCAAGCGGCGGTATCACGCTCGGAGACACCGGCTCCGCAGCCGCCGGTGATGTCTACATCGTGAATGATCTTGGTGTGGGTGACAGCACTCCAAACGCGAAGCTCCATGTACGCGGCTCAGCAACGCAGACCCCATTCCGTGTGGACAAAGGGGATGGCAACTTCGCCTTGATCGTGTCAAGTGCTGGAACGGTCACAGTTGACAATCAAATCTCGATCGGTACAGCATCCGCTCATAGCTTTGAGCTTGCCGTCTCAGGATCAGCCGCCAAAACCGGAGGCGGGAGCTGGTCAGTCTTCTCCGATCAACGCCTCAAGAAAAACATCACCCCGATGCAAGGCTCCCTCGAAACACTCACCGCGCTCCGCCCAGTGAACTTCGAATACACCAACAAAGACCACTTCTCCTACGCAAAGGGCATCCAGCAAGGATTCATCGCACAAGAAGTCCAGCAGGTCATCCCACAGTGGGTCCACACCGCAGACGACGGCTACCTCTACCTCGACCAAACCGGATTCGAAGCCCTCGTCGTCGGAGCGATCCAAGAACTCCGCAGCGAGAACGCCAAGCACATCCAAGAACTGCAAGCCGAGAACGACCAGCTCCGATCCGAACTCGAGCAGCTCAAGCAAATGGTCCGCTACCTGATCGAGAACTAACCCCGATCATTCGATCAACCATCAATCGATCCAAGAACCAAGCACACAGGAACTCATCATCCCCCCTCAGGGATGATGAGTGCCTTGGTGCGTGTGTGGTCGAATTTTGCTTGTGACATCCATGGAATTCAGGTACAGTTTGCTAAGAGAATTCACATCCGTGAGGGAGATCCATCAGCATGAAATCTGTACTTCTAGCAATCGCAATCTTTGCGATTGCGTGTATGAATCTTGTCGCATCCGCCCAGCCGTATATCGAGCTGGAGTTCAACGCCGCGACTGATCGTTCGCCGTCGCCGGATTACGAGTTCAGGACCATCCGCGTGACACTGCTGCTCGATACGGCGCAAGTGGGGGATGTCTCTGGAGGTGTAGGAATCTTCGATGTCGAAGAGATCACCATCGAACTCGATCAGAGCAGCGACATCGAAGGCAAACGCTTCTTCGCACGCACCGCGCCGATGCTCACACTCACCAAATCGGACTCGGACTCAGATTTCTTCCCACCTGAGCTCATCCTCTTCGAGGACCCCAGCACCGGATACTGGGACTTCTCGATCTTCCTCACAAACATCTCCGCAACCGGAATCTTCGGCACCAACGAGTTCACCGATGTCACGATCAGCATGCCCACCATCGATCCAGTCGCGATCAACAACGCGCTCCCAAACCTCCCATCAGATCCAAACGCGTACTACCCAGCACGCGACCCATCCAGTTTCTACGGCATCACCATGAACTGGTCAGGATCCACCCACTTTGGAAACGCACACTGGATCTACAACCTCAACAACCCAAACCCAGGTTCACCAAGCGACAACGGGAAGTGGATCGGTCTCGAATCACGCATCGGTGAAAGAACCAACAAAAGCGAGTCATGTCCCGGAGATCTCAACGAAGACGGCAACCTTAACTTTCTCGATGTCTCCAAGTTCCTCGATCTCTACAGCATGGGATGCGAGTAAGCAAAGGACCACATCATGAAGCAACACACATTCATACTCGCACTCTTCGCCATCATCACGACATCGATCGCATGCACTGTTGCCATCGCGCAGCCGTATATCGAGCTGGAGTTCAACGCTGCGTCTGAACCCGAGCCAATCCCGGAACCCGGATTCAGATTCACGATGGTGAATGTCAAGGTCCTGCTCAATGCCGGAGAACCCGGACAGGTGTTCCAAGACCTCGCGATCTTCCCGATCGAGGAGATCACCGTCGAGCTCAACGCCGCCAATACGCTGGAGAACCCGATCTACCGACCGAGCGAAGCCCCAGATCTAATCCTGACCAAGGAAGTCTTCACAAGCAGCGGAGGTATTCCCCCTGAGCTGCAGATGACCAGAGATCCCTTTACTGGTCACTGGGACTTAAGCGTCTACCTAGTCAATATCTCTCCCAACGGTTTGTTCGGAACCAACGAGTTCGGAGAGCTCTCGTTCTCCCTCACATCGCTCGACGGCCCAGCATTCACGGACGCGATTCCAAACCTCCCATCAGATCCAAACGCATACTACCTCGTCCGCACTGACGAACGTCCCTACATGATTGAGATCAATTGGACTGGAAACACCTACAGATCAGGAGAAGCTAGGTGGGGTTTCTTGCCCTTCAATCCAGCCCTCGTTGAGTCTGGACGCCACCTCGATTACGAAGCACGCATCGGAGAAGACCCCAACCCAATCGAGCCTTGTCCCGGAGATCTCAACGAAGACGGCAACCTCAACTTCCTCGATGTCTCCAAGTTCCTCGACCTCTACGGCATGGGATGCGAATAACCAAGCACACAGGCACTCATCATCCCTGTGGGGGGATGATGAGTGCCTTGGTGCGCTCAATCTCACTAAGTCTCGGAATATTGAAACCCGATGCGCTGTTCCCTCAAGCAAGAGGGCCGCGGTCAATCAGGGCCGATATCGAGGGACCTCTATGCTTACACAGCACGCAACCAGAAAACCTTCCACGCTCGCGATAAACATCGCTCCCAGCGTATTGCAAGATGCACCACCCGAAGAATCAGACGAGCAGGTCATCCAGGCGATCCTCGAGAATGACCCCGCCGCCTTCGAGCGACTGATGCGACGCTACAACCAGCGTCTCTTCCGAGTTGCCAGAGCTGTCGTCAAGGACGACACCGAAGCCGAAGATGTCGTCCAGGAAGCGTACATGAACGCGTTCGCGTCGCTCCGTAGCTTCGAGGGTCGCGCCCGATTCTCAACCTGGATCACCCGCATCACCTACCACGAAGCACTGCGCCGAAAGCGAGCGCAATCCGTCCGCACAAGACACCTCCCCTCGCTGAGCCGAGTCCGATCGGTCTTGAGCCGGAGCACCACTCAGGAAGACACGCTGAATCCCGATACTAAGCTCCTGGTCTGCGAAGCCTTCGATCAGCTCCAGCCCATGCATCGCTCTGTGCTCATGCTCAGACTCGTCGAGGGACTCTCAACGCAGGAAACCGCCGAGTGCCTCCAGATCAGCGACTCCAATGTCAAAGTCCAGCTGCATCGCGCAAAGAAGAGTTTCGAGCGGATCATGCGGAACGCATCAGACGATCAGCTCATCGAACGCTTCTCCTTCGCTGGTCACCAATGCGACTCGATCGTGCACACAGTGCTGTCTCGCCTCAAGACCGAGCAAAAAACTGAAAGAATGCTGTAACCAATCCGCATCGAGGTTCTCTATATCTGTATCGAGCGATCTCTCCGTGTGAGAAGATGCAGGAAGTCGCTCTCGAAAGGAACCTGTTATGAAAAACAAGAAACTCAATGGTCAACGCGCGATCGTTCTGTACGCATCCTTCGGCATCTTCGGACTACTCTCCACCACGATGATCGGATGCGAATCCACCCAGTCCAACCAGCTCTCAAGCACGCCGCAGAAGGTCTTCTCCCCGAACCATGTGCACGGCTATCGAACATCAGCCGGATCAACAAACTCAGGCTCAATGTCCGGAGTCTTCTCCCCAAACCATGTCCACGGCTACGACGCCCACCTCTCAGGACAAACACGACTCAATAGCCCAACACAACTCCGCCCGACACATGTCAACGGCTACTGAGCATTTCACAAACACGCAAGCACACAGGAACTCATCATCCCCACACAGGGATGATGGGTGCCTTGGTGCGCCAAATATCACTTGTAGAAGGTGTCAGACTTAATCGGCCAGCGGATCGGGCTTGTACACCTTTGTCCCAAGTGCCCAGTTCTTCTCAGTGAAGTTCCCACCCAGCGCCGTGTTCTCGCGCTCTGGACGAGCCGCCGCGATCGTCATGACCGTCTTCGCGTCGAGGTTGTCGATCTGCGAGACCAGCACCGCCTCAGGAGACGACGGGATCTTCGCGGCCCCATACTCAGGACGCTCGTGGTGCGAGATGATGATGTGCTGCAAAATCGTCATCGCGCCCGCAGGCATCCGCGTCCCGCTCTCACGCATCATCTGCTGCGCCTTGTCATGGAGCATGATCGCGCCCTCAACAAGGTGCCCAATCAACTCCCCACGATCCGAGTATCCAAACCCGCGATCATAAAACAGTTCTCTCGTCTTCCCGAGGTCATGGAGGAACAGCCCCATCAGCACGATGTCCCGATTGATCTTCGGATACAGCGGACAGATCTTGTCCGCGATCTGCATCAGCGTCAGCGTATGCTCAAGCAGCCCACCGAGGTACGCATGATGGAGTCGGACAGCAGCGGGAGCGGTCCGGAACGCGTCCATCAGGTATTCGTCGCTGAGGTACGCATCCGCAAGCGCCTTCATCGCGGGATGTTCCAGCGTCTGAAGCATCTCAACGACCTCGCTGAACATCTCCTTGGGATCACGCTCACAGCTCGGGAGCAGCTCACGCAGCTCCTCCGGACTCGGATCATGCGCCTCGATCGTATGGATGATGATCTGCAGCTCCCCCTGATACGCCTGCGTCTCGCCCTCGACCCACACAAAGCCATCAGTGGGGAGGCGCTGGAAATGCGCCTCGTCGATCGACCACATCCGTCCCGCCGTCTGTCCAGACGCATCCCCAAGCAAGCAGCGCAGGTAAGGCTTGCCGTTCTTGGTCATCCCCTGCTGAGCGTTCGCGATCGCGAAGACGCCGTCAAGACGCTCTGAGGGGTTCATCTGGGAGATCATCCGCCGAGAAGTGTGTGTGCTCATAGAACGAGTATAGAGCATGGTCGAGCAACTTCCATGCCTAGGGTAGTGATCGACTTGTGATTCGCTCCAAGCGCCATACGATAGATCGACCCAAACGATCCCGACCCAAGCCGGCATCTAACGCAGGACCCGCCATGCCCACACCCTGGACAACCGCACATTCCATCATCGCGGCCCTCGCGATCTGTGCCGGCTCGTCCTGCTCCCTCGCCGCATCAGCGAACCTGATCCAAAGCACCAACCAACCTACCAGCCAATCCTTCGACGACATCTCCCTCGCCGTCGAACCCATCGCCGGGATCATCACCCTCGCCGCAGAATCGGGTTGGGTCTGGAAATCCGGAAACACCAACCGCATCGTCCTGGACCGCGATGTCCGCGTCACCGTCGGAGGCTCAGCACTCAGTGCCCGCAGAGCGGACATCTGGTTGCGTCCGATCGACGCAAACACCTACCAGTTCTTCGGGATCTTTGAGAAACTCACCTCCAACGACGGCTCCTTCAAAGGAGACCGCGTCCCAGTCCGAGCAATCATCAACCTCCAAGACACCATCAAACTCACGCTCGGCGGACAACTCAACGAGCCCCCAAACCGCAAAGACCTCGTCGAGTTCATGGAGCGCTCACAAGACCTCTACAACCGGCGCTTGCTCCAGCAAGAACCAGCCGAACCCCAACAACAAACCCTCCGCTGGGCGCCCAAAGAACTCCCCCCCTCAACCATCTCCTCCGCCGAGCAAGTCGCCCGCTCCGATCGCGTCCTCCCAGTCCCAGAAACCGATCGCAAAGAATCCCGCGTCCGCAAGGTCCTCGAGTCCACACTCGGACGCGCCGAACAAGTCGCCCAGCGCACCGATCCGATCACCAACGAACCAATCGCGCCACCAACCCAAGCAAACAGAAGCGATGAGCGCGACGAGCAAACCGCATCCACACAACCTACAGCGCCAACCCAACCACCTCCAGACCCCATCTTCCGAGCTACTGGGATCTTCTCCATCGCGATCGACGGCAAGGTCGTCGTCCAAGGCGCTCAACAAGCAAGCGACACACAACCCGCGCGTCCACCAACCATCACCGCCGAGGGTGGGGTCACGATGCAGTACCAGGACCCCGCATCGCGCCAGACGATGGACCTGCAAGCCGAGCGAGCCGTGATCTTCCTGCGTGAAGACACCAACACCACCGCATCCCCATCCCAGCTCAACGCATCGGAAATCGAAGGCATCTACCTCGAAGGAGGCGTGTTTGCAGGAAACGCCGACTGGTCCGTCCGTTCACCCAAGATCTATGTTGATCTCGTGCGTGACAAGATGCTCATGCTCGACGCCGTGTTCTGGACTGTGGACCAGCGGACCAACATGCCGTTGTACCTGCGTGCCGACTCCGTGCGTCAGACCTCGCAGGGAGAGTTCGAAGCCGAGAAAGCACGAATTGCCAACAGCGCGTTCTTCGAGCCCGACCTGAGCATCGGTGTCTCCAAACTCAAAGTCTCCGTCCGCAACGAGCGTCCACAACCACGTGGACTGCTCGGACTCGTCGGAAGTGTCTCCAGCGGATTCGGAGACGACGAATCCGTCGATGACATCGAGCCAGGTTCAGACCTCGTCCGGAGAGTCCATGTCGACGGCAAGAATGTGACCCTCCGACTCGGATCCATCCCCATCATGTGGGTCCCACGAGTCAAAGGTGACTCCGACGCATTCCCGCTCAAAGAAGTCCGCATCGGAGACACCAACCGCTCAGGACTCGCTTTGCGAACACGCTGGGATCTCTACTCGCTCTTCGGTGTAGATCCGATCCCCAATGTCAAAGCCAGCCTCCAGCTCGACTACTACGGCGAGCGCGGATTCGCTTTCGGTGTTAGCAGCAGTTGGAACACCCCAAGACACAGCGGATCGCTCTACTCCTACCTCCTCCCTTCGGACAACGGCACAGACATCACCTCCGCAGGACGCAAAATCCCAAGAGACGACGAAACACGAGGCATCATCCAGTTCCACGATATCTGGGAACTCCAGGACCCCTGGACACTCGTGACCAAGGGAACCTACATCTCCGACGAGGCATTCATCCCCGCATTCGATGAACAACTCGGACGCGAGACCGTGGACTTTGACTCCATGCTCCGACTCGAGCGCACCGGAGAACGCACGCAGTTCGCGCTGGAACTCTCAGGAAGCCCCAACGACTTCTTCGGCGCTGAGCACTTGCTGCAGAGCCCCGGATACGCTGTTGACAAGATCCCCGAAGCGAGCTTCGTTTCAGTTACGCACGATCCGTTCGAAGAGACCATGCCCGGCATCTTCAACTACCAGTTCGAAGCAAGCGTCGGCGCAATGCGACTTAGGTTCTCAGAACCCACCGCAGCCGAGTACGGCTTCGACACCGTCGGACTCGCGATGGGCGCGTTCGGAACCGCACCCGGAGTCTCCCTCGCAGACACACAGCGAGCTCTGGGACTCGACGAGGACACCGTCGGACGCTTCGACACTCGACACGAACTCAGCGCCCGCTTCGATGCCGGTCCGATCAGACTCACCCCATTCGTCGCCGGACGCATCACCGCATACGACACCTCCTTCGATACATTCACCCCGACACAAACCGACGATGTCCGCTACTGGGGCGCCGCTGGGATGACCGTCTCCACCACGCTCACCAAGGTGGACGACGATGCAAGCAGCGACTTCCTCGATATACATCGCATCCGCCACATCGTCGAGCCTTCGGTCACCTTTTGGCAAGCCGACTCCGCGTTCGCAGTGGGGGACACACCGATCTTCGACGATGATGTCGAAGGACTCTTGCGTGGTTCGATGATCCGTGCCGGAGTCACGCAGACATGGCAGACCAAACGCGGCGGCCCCGGACGCTGGCGCGACGCCGACATCCTCAAGATCAACACCGAGTATGTGTGGTCGAGCGATCGTGCCGGAACCACCGTCATCCCGGACTTCTTCTCCGCTCGTCCCGAACTCTCCAATCCCGGAACCTACCTCGGATCAGACATCGTCTTCTCCCCAACCGATGTGCTCGCGTTCTCAGGTTCGGTCATCTTTGATCTGGACCAGGACCAAACCGCACGATCCAGCGCCGGAGTCCTCGTCGAGCACCGGCCCGGATTTGTCAGTTCCATCGAATACCGTGACATCCGTGCCATCGACGCGACCTATCTCTTCGGACGCACGAGCTATGAACTCACTGAGAAGTACACCGTTTCAACAAGCGCGAACTACAACTTCGACCGAGGGGACTTCCAGAACTTCAACGCGAGCCTCAACCGAAACTTCCAGATCGGGACACTCGGACTCTCCGTCAACTACGACAACATCCGCTCCGAGACCAGCATCGGTGTCGTGTTCCGACCATTCGGCACATCAGGAATCGACAGCAACGATTTCATCACAGAATAAGTTCAACAATCAGCCCGGATGCTCCACGAACAACTCTGCTTGACGCTTGGTCGTCACCTCGCACGCGAGTGGTTGCTCTGGGTCGATCGGATACTTCCCCGTAAAGCACGCCGTGCAGTATCCAGACGCTCGATTTTTCATCACATCAAGCATCCCGTCGTGACTGAGATAATGCAGCGAGTCCACCTCGAGGAAGTCTCGGATCTCATCCACACTCTTATTGTGCGCGATCAGTTGTTCGGGAGTTGCAAAGTCCACGCCGTAGAAGCAGGGACTCACAATCGGAGGACACGAGATCCGCACATGGATCTCGCTCGCTCCAGCTTCTCGGATCTGCTTCATTTTCTCACGCGTCGTCGTCCCTCGAACGATCGAGTCGTCCACGATGATGACCCGCATTCCGGAAACAATTTCTGAGACGACATTGAGTTTCAGTCGAACCGCCGCCGCTCGCTCCGCTTGCGTTGGTTTGATGAAGGTGCGCCCAACATAGCGATTCGGGACGATCCCCTCGCGATACGGAATCCCCGATTCATTCGCGTATCCATTAGCCGCACTCCGTCCCGAGTCCGGCATCGGCATCACAATATCCGCCTCCACCGGAGACTCGATCGCGAGCTGCTTCCCGAACTCCTCACGCGAGACGAGCACATTCTGACCAAACACCTCAGACGCCGGGTTCGCAAAGTACACATGCTCAAACACACAACGCGACAATGGCGTCATCGGGGCCGCATACCTTCGAGAATGCACACCCTCATCCGAAAGCGTCACGATCTCGCCCGGCTCAATCTCACGCACAAACTTCGCGCCCATCACATCCAGCGCCACCGTCTCCGACGCAACGCAAGGCGATCCGTCCTCAAGCTCCCCAAGCACCAAAGGCCTGAACCCCCAAGGATCACGCGCCGCTTCGATCCGATCCTTCAGCAAGAGCACAAGCGAGAACGCCCCCTGCAGGTTCCGCAGCATCGCCCCCGTCGGATCGGGAGTGTCCCGCTGATCCGGGGATGCGAGTAGATGGATCATGACCTCCGTATCCGAACTCGTATGAAACAACTGTCCACGACGAGACAACTCACGCCGCCACACCTGACCATTGATCAGATTCCCGTTGTGCGCCACACTGACAGGACCATCAAACATCGTCTCAACCAACGGCTGGATATTCTCAGCGCCCGATCCACCCGCCGTCGAATACCGCGTGTGACCGATCACCCCTCGATTGCTCAGGTTGCTCTTGTTGTAGTACCCGTCGAGCCGCTCAAGCCGCTCAGCGTTGAGCACATCCGCGACCATCCCAACCCCACGCTCCGAATGGATCTTCCCATTGGAACTCGCGGCGAGTCCCGCCGCTTCTTGTCCGCGATGCTGCAGCGCATACAACCCCAGATACCCAAGATGCACCGCACGCGGATGATTCCAGACCGCGACAACGCCGCATTCCTCTTTCGGAGAATCATCCAGAACATCCAGATGCACATCTCGAATCATGCCGCGCTCCATGACTGTGTCAATACAAGTTGGGGACTACTGAACAATAGGTCCGCGTGCTCAGATGATCTCGACCGATCCGACTGAATCACACAACCCCGCGTCCGCTCCGCGACCCAGCAGCAGTTCAATCGCAGCCCGACCAGTATCCCCCATGTCCAGCGTCAAATCTGACACATACATCGAGAGGTACTTGTCAACAAGCTCCGGATCATCCCACTCCGTCCGATCACCCTTGTTGATCTGCAGATGCCTCCGCGAAGCATCCTTCTCACGCACCGCCGTCTCGATCGACGCCGTGAGCAGATCCGCGACGCGCTGACAAGTCCCCTCGCCGTACCGCTCGTCCAGTGAGCGAGCGACGACATTGAGCCCCAAAGGCAACGGCTTCCCCCCTGTATCCGAATGCCACCACTGACCGATATCCCCGATCTGACGAAGCCCAGAGTCCCCAAAGGTCAACTGCGCCTCGTGAATGAGTAATCCAGCATCCACATCGCCGTCCTTGACCGCTCCAGGAATATCAGAGAACAGCATCGGGACAAACTTGAATCCAGGCGCGATCAAATTCAGTGTCAAGAACGCGCTCGTGTTCACGCCAGGCACACCAATCGTCACGGATGAATCCAAATCATCAAGCGATCGCAATCCCGAGTCCGACGCGACCACTACCTTGGGGCCGTAGTTCTCACCAAACGACCCGCCCGATCGCGTGATCAGATACCGATCCGCGATCGCCGGATACACTGCACATGAGATCGCTGTGATGTCATACGGATCAGACGCCCCCGGATCAATCGCAAGCTCATTGAGCTCCTGCACATCCCGCGCCACCAGATCAAAGCGGAACGGACCAGTATCAAGCTGGGGTTGTCCGAGCGGACCATCGATCGGAGTCCCGTCGGGATTTGTGATCCCCGTCAGCGGCCACCACATCACCAGATCATCCGAGTCCGGAGAATGCGCCAGTGAGAGTATGATCGTGTCAGTCTGAGTCATCGGCCGTCTTTCATTCAATACTTGGTCAATGAAGGATCAAGACGATCCGACCACCAGTGGATTCCGCCCGCAACTGAGCGAGCACCAGTGAATCCCTGTCCATGAAGATACATCGCAACATCAAGTGAGCGTTTCCCCGTTCGGCACAGCACCGCAACCAGGGTGTCCTCTTCGATGTCCAGCTCACCAAGCGCCCCAGGAATATCGCCCATCGGGATATGCGTCGCGCCCTCGATCGCACTGATCTCGAGTTCATGAGGCTCACGCACATCAAGCAACAAAAAGTCATCCGCGCCAGACTCGTGCAGCTGATGCGTCTCAACAACACTGATCTCAAGATCGGGATTGAACGGATAGTTCTCTGGATTGTCAGGTAAGTCACTCATCGTCATTGCCCTCTTCGAGTTGCTTGTTCGGATCCGCGATCGGTCCCGATGCCCACACCCTTTCCTGTCGGCTCCGCTTCCAGACACGCTGCGGACTCCACTGATTATTGGTGAGCTGATACTGCATCAGCATCGGATTGATCAGCCCAATGCCGGATGATCCGATCTCATCGAGGGTCTCGATCATCGAGTTAACCCCGGACTGCCCCTGAGCAGCAAGCGACGACTCCACGCTCGGCATCAACCCATAGACCCTCGGCTCATCCGTCTTGCGCGGAAACGGATACACCCGCATCGCCGCGCCGTGCGAGATCCCATCGATCGGGACCACAACGACCATCGTCGCCCACTGCGAACGCGGTGCATGCGTATCGAGCGATCGTTCTGACTGATCACGATCAAAGCTCGCTGTGCGATTCAGTGTGCCCAGCTCGAGCCGTTCGTTCTGAGCGTGGACACACCCACCCATCAGCACCAACCCAACCCAAACCATGCAGCAAATCACGAACCTCATACCCCAGATGCTAGGGGATTCCGCGCTCCAAAGCGGCTCGATCGATTCCTCGCTCCTACGCTTTGTCTGCAAATACTCCAATGGCCAAGAAGAACAAAAACAAGAAAAACAACCACTCGCCGGTCTTCGACAACCGCCGAGCCCGTCACGACTACTTCGTCGAGGACACCCTCGAGGTCGGGATCGTCCTTGAGGGCTCGGAAGTCAAAAGCATCCGCGACGGTAACTGCTCCCTCAAAGAGGGCTACATCTCCGTGGACCTCGATCCACCCCGCCTCACGCTCCACCAGATCGACATCCCACCCTACCAACCCGCCGGGGCGCTGAACCATCGCCCCAAACGTGACCGCATGCTGCTCGCCAACAAACGCGAGATCGAGCGCCTCGCACGCTCCGTGGACATCAAAGGCGTCACCCTCATCCCCCTCAAACTCTACTTCTCTGGAGGATTTGCCAAAATCCAGCTTGGGATCTGTAAAGGCAAAGCACAGCACGACAAACGCCACTCCATCGCCGAGCGCGAGAACCAGCGTGACCTCCAACGCGCGATGTCCCAGAAAATGAAGTACTAAAGCGATCTCGCATCCCCAGCGTCCCCGATCGCGCATACCGTCGATCGTGCAACGACGCGCCCTCGTCATCCTGTTCCTGCTCACGCTCAGCTTCGTCCTGATCGCATTCCTGCGCCTCATCGCAGGCACCGACCAGTGGGGGGTCTCCGAAGATTCCTACATCAACGCCCTCCGCTTCCGCCGAGTCTGGACCGGATCCCTGGTCGGCTCATCGCTCGCAATCGCGGGCGTACTTCTCCAGTCCCTCCTCCGCAACCCCCTCGCCGCGCCCGATCTCATGGGACTCAGCGCCGGCGCCGGATTCGCTGTCACGCTCACCATGTTCATCACAGGAACCGCACTCAGTGTCGGAGGCGCCTCGATCCCCGCGCTCATCGGAGCGGTCAGCGTCCTGGCTCTGGTCTACACACTCTCCAAACGACAAGGCATCATCGACCCAGTCACCATGATCCTCATCGGGGTCATCGTCTCCGTGATCCTCGGGGCCGCGACCATGCTCGTCGCGGCCCAGATGCCCGATCGTGGATTCGGGACAAGCCGATGGATGATGGGACACCTCCGCGAAGACCTCAACTCCACGCACCTCCTCGCATCTTCGATCGCCGTCTTGTTCGTACTCATCATCGCGATGATCCGTGCTCGCTACTACGACGCCGGCGCGCTCCCCAACGACGAAGCCGCAAGCGTGGGACTCAACATCAAACGCATCCGTCTGGAGCAACTCCTCGGAGCCGGGATCCTGACCACGATCTCCATCATCCTCGCAGGCCCCATAGGATTCGTCGGACTCGTCTGCCCCCACATCGTCCGCGTCCTGATCGGACCGCGCCACAACACGCTGCTGATCGCGTCAACCATCCTCGGCGCGTCCATGGTCGTCGGCGCCGATGTCGTCACCAGAGCAATCGAAACCGACGCCGGCCGCATCCCGATCGGAGTCCTCACCGCACTCATCGGAGGCCCCGCGTTCCTCGTCCTCCTGCTCAAACAGCGGACGAGCCAGTCGATGGGTTGAACAATCAACAGATCACGCGTTGAAGTACCGCGCCTCAGGGTGATGCGAGACAATCGCGCACGTCGATTGCTCCGGATCGATCTGGTAGTTCTCCGTCAGATGACACCCGATCCGCGTCGGATCCAGCAGCTCCCACATGATCGTGTGCGCACTCATGTCAGGACACGCGGGATACCCAAACGAGTAGCGAGATCCGCGATACTTCTGCTGGAAGAGTTCGCTGATCACACTCGAATCCTCGTGCCCAAACCCAAGCTCCTGACGGATCCGCTTGTGCCAAAGCTCCGCCAACCCTTCCGCGGCTTCAACCCCCAAGCCGTGCCAGTACAAATAATCCTGATACTGATCCGAATCAAAGAGCTCCTTCGTGTAGCCGCTGATCCGCTCACCCATCGTCACGCACATCATCCCGATCACATCGCGCTGCCCAATAGCTTCGCACTCCCCAAGATCACGATAGAAATCAGCAATGCACAGCGTCTTATTCGAAGACTGACGCGGGAACGCGAACCGATTCACTTCGCGATCATGATCCTCCGGATCAAACATCACCAGCGAATCCCCATCGCTGCTGCACGGGAAGTACCCATACACCACGCGAGGCTGCAGGATCGACTGCTCCAAACACGCCTGCTTGAGCTCTTCAAACTTGGGCTTCGCGACATCTTCAAGCATCGCTTCGTACCCCGCCTTGTCCTGTTTGCCCCGCTTGAGCTGCCACTGCACGCTATAGAGCGCTGTCGGATTGATGTACGCGAAGATATCCCGAAGCGACACATCCTCGATCACCCGCGTCCCCCAGAATGGAGGCGTCGGGACCTCATTGTCACGCACCACCGCAGACCGCGTCAGCACCGAAGTCGCCGAAGCCGGCTTGATCTTCCCTTGATGCTTCGCGATCGTCGCTTGTCTCGTCTGTGCACGCTCCTGAGCCGCGCTGAGCAACTCTTTGCTCGTCCCAGTGATGATCGCGTTCATCGTGTCGAGCCCATCAAACGCGTCCTTCGCGTAGTGCAGATCCCCCTCGTACACACTGGTCAGGTGACCTTCCGCGTAACTCCGTGTCAATGCCGCGCCCCCAAGTAGCACCGGGACCTTGATCCCCGACTTGTTGAGCTCGTGGAGATTCTCCTCCATCACATTGACGCTCTTGACGAGGAGTCCCGACAACCCGATCGCGTCCGCCATGGTTTCTTCATAGGACTTGAGGATCGCATCAATCGGTTGCTTGATCCCAAGGTTGTGTACCGTAAATCCGTTATTCGACAAGAGGATATCAACCAGGTTCTTCCCGATGTCGTGCACATCGCCCTTGACCGTCGCGAGCACGATCGACCCCTTGGACACCGAATCGCTCTTCTCCATATGAGGCTCAAGCAGCGCCACCGCACGCTTCATCACCTCCGCGCTCTGGAGCACAAACGGCAGTTGCATCTGCCCGCTCCCGAACAACTCGCCCACCGTCTTCATCCCATCGAGCAAGTGATCGTTGATGATCTCCAGAGCCGTGTACTGCTCGAGCGCTTCATTGATCGACTCCTCAAGATGCTCGCGCTCGCCGTTGATGATGTGGTTCCGGAGCCGTTCCTCAAGCGACAGGTCCGATTGCGAGACCTGATCCACCTGCTCCGTTTCGCCTTGGAACAAATCGATCAGGTGCGCCAGCGGATCGTGCTTGGGATCATCGATGCCCTCAGGGAGACCGATCCCGCCGAGCTCTTCGCTGCGACGATCGAAGATCAGGTCCATCGCCGCGTCCTTCTGCGCTTCGTCCATCCGATGCAAAGGCGTGATCTTCGACGCATGCAGAATCGCACTCGTCATCCCCGCCTCAACAAGCTCATGCAGCAGCACAGCGTTGATCACCACGCGAGCCGAGGGATTCAATCCGAACGACACATTCGACAAGCCGCACGTCAGCTGCACCTCCGGATACGCCTCCGCGATCCGTCTCGTGCCCTCGATCAGCTCGCTGGCGCTGCGACGATCCGAGTCCATCCCCGTCGAAACCGGGAGCACCAGCGGATCGATGAACAGATCCGAGACCTTCAAACCATGATGATCCACAGCACGCTCGATCGCCCGCGACGCGATCGCGAGCTTGCGATCCGCCGTCCGCGCCATCGCGTTCTCTTCATCCTCATCGATCGTCCCGATGACCAGCCCCGCCCCGAACCGCTTCGCCATCGCGCACAGCTCATCAAACTTCTCTTCGCCCTCCTCAAAGTTCGCGCTGTTGATGATGCTCTTACCCCCCGACGCCTTGAGCCCCGCGAGGATCACTTTCGGATTCGTCGAGTCGAGCATGAGTGGGGCATCGACCTGCTTGACAATCCGCGAGACCACCTCATGCATGTCCCGCGCGTTGTCGCGCCCCGCGACATCGACGTTGATATCGATCACGTGCGAGCTGTCCCGCACCTGCTGGCGAGCCAGCGACACGATCCCATCGAAGTCCTCTTCCTCAAGCAGCCGCTTGAACTTTCGCGATCCCGACGCGTTGCACCGCTCTCCAATAATCAGCAGCGACAGATCCTGCCGATACTCCACCGCCGAGTACAGCGACGAACAGCTCGGAACGACAACCGGATCATCCCGACGGACCTTCTCCCGGCCATCCACAAACGCGCGCAGCTTCGCAATATGCTCAGGGGTCGTCCCGCAGCACCCACCGATCGCGTCCACCAATCCCTCATCAAGCATCGGGGTGACCGCCTTGACGAACGAGTCGGGACCTAGCGGATAGACCGTTTTCCCCTCCTCAAGCACCGGGAGCCCGGCGTTGGGCATCACCGTGATCGGGCGATCCCACTTCTTCGCAAGCGTCCGCACATGGTTCATCATCTCCACCGGACCCGTCGCGCAGTTGAGTCCCAGCGCCGAGATCGGAAGCGGACGCAGCGCCTCGATCGCGGCTTCAATCGAACTCCCCACAAGCATCGTCCCCGTCTGCTCGATCGTCACCGAAACAAAGATCGGCACCGACCCAAACTCAACCCCCAGCTCCAGCTCCGCCTGCTCTACCGATTGCACCGCACAGCGGATCTGCAGCAGATCCTGACACGTCTCGATCAGCACGCAATCAACCCCACCCTCGATCAAGCCCATCGCTGCTTGCGCATACGAATCTCGCAGATCATCGAACCCGATCTGTCCGAGCGTGATCAGCTTTGTTCCAGGCCCAAGCGATCCCGCGACAAAGCGTCGCTGCGCATCAGTGCTGAACTCATCCGCTGCCTGGCGCGCGATCTCCGCCGCTGCTCGGCATACGGCACGCGCATCATCACTGCGATCGAACTCCCCAAGCACATGCGCCGCGCCGCCAAAGGTATTGGTCGAGATCACATCCGCACCAGCTTTCAGATACGCGCGATGGATCTCCCCGATCTGTTCAGGACAACTCAGCGACAGTATGTCTGTGCAGTTCTCGCACCCCTGATAGTGTTCATCGATGTCCAGATCCAGCGCATGGATCTGTGTACCCATTGCGCCGTCCCAGACCAAAATCGTCTCTTGGAGCCTTTGAATAAGGAGCTTGCCGTGTTGTGTGTAGTTCATAGTGCTCAATCCGTTTTTCTGGATGAACGGATTATACATACTCCGGGGTGAATTTCAGTCGTATCGGCAAAAAAAGGACGCCTCAAACGAGGCGTCCCTGAGTTGACTTAGAGGATCCGTTTACGGGCAGCCCATCGCGAATCGGAGCAGGTACTCCGACACATCGAAGAAGTTGAGCGTGCCGTCTGGAGATCCATCAGGATTCCCGGCAAGGTCAGCTTCCGGATCACCAGAGCCGTACAACGAGAGGTACGCCGAGACATCGAAGAAGTTGAGCTGTCCGTCAGGTGTCCCATCAGGATTCCCAGCGAGGTCCGCGGGACATGCATCCACACTCTCACAGACCAATCCTCGGATCGTCACATCGTCAACGCCCGCTTCGATGATTGATCCCGCTCCCATGTCCGAGACAAGGAAGCGAACTCGCATCATCGAAGTACCGGGCTGGAAGCTGTCCAGTGGAAGCTCGGACATGATCCAGCCGCCCATCGACTCTTCGTTGTTCGGACCGATGATGTCGAGCGTTTCGTATGACTCGCCGCCATCGTAGGAGATCCCGACTTCCATCACATCCGCCCCCGGCGCCGTTCCAGATCCACCGCCGGTATTGTCGTACCAGCGAGCGTAGACCATCTTGGGACTGATCATGTCTGAGATATCGAAGACAGGCGAAGTCAGGATTGTCAACGAGTCCACATCAGAGTTCACGCCTCCAGCGGTATTGCCGGTCACGAAACAGCTTCCCGAACCATCAGCATCAACCGTTGGATCACCGAACCCGCCGTCACCCATCGGCACGCCGCGTTCCCACATCCCATCGAGTGGACCCTTCGCACCACCGCTGACTGACCAACCGGTATCGAGCTCGAAGTTGTCTTCGAAGACCTGCATCGCTTCACCGATGTTGTATCCGAGCAATGCGGACTCATTCAGATCAGGGAATGTTGTCAGACCAGTGTTCACGCCCTCGACGCTGATGAAGTAGCTCACATCGAATCCGCCATCAGGTAGTGCATCGTGATTCGGATTACAGTCCTGCGCAGGGATCGTCGCGGTGTAGCTGTTGCCGCCATTGCTGACCAAAGGCACCTCAACGAATCCGCTACCAACCCCCATCACGCCGCCGGCAGAAATGTACGAAAGCATCTCTGTGCCAGGCACAATCTGATCAATCGGCTGGTCGATCAGCACCTCAAACACATAATCCTCACCCGGCATGACTTCTGTCTGCGGCTCTTGAGCAAGCATGATCACAGGTTGTGGATCTTCACAAATCAACTCGCTCACCGATACGCCATCCACACCCGCTTCGATGACCGAAGCATTCTGGAGATCCTCAACTACGAATCGGAACTGAAGTTGAGAAGTCGCAAAGTCAAAGTCCGGCACATCGTCTGAAAGCTCTTCGATCAGATCGTACTCCACAAAGAACCATCCGCCCTCAGACTCGAGGGTGTTCGGTCCAACAACCTCAAGCTCGAACCAGTCCAAGCCTCCGTTGTCAGAGACCTCAACCAGGAATATATCCATGTCATCGTCAGGTCCCGAACCTGAACCAGAGCCGGTATTGTCATACCAGCGCCAGTACGAGACACTCGGACGCACTACATTGGATACATCGAAGATCGGAGAGTTCAAAATGGTTGGGCCACCATCGACATCGGTATTCGATCCTGGACCACCATTGCCAGTGAGATAGCACTGTCCCGAACCATCCGCATCCATCGGCGGATCACCTCGTGAACCATCACCCGCTGGGACACCGCGTTCCCACTGACCAGCCGCTTGTCCCTCGATCGGACCTGTGACCATCCATCCCATTTGTGTCTGGAAGTTGTCTGCAAAGAACGCGGACGGATCACCAATAAAAGCTCGGAACGGATCGTCCCCGCCACCAAGAGGTAGCGTGATCGAGCCTTCGGAGCCGACTGTGCTTGCTTCGATGAAGTATTCGACCACTGCATCCGGATCACAATCAAATCCAGGTAGGGTAGCCGTGTATTCCAATCCCTTGCCTGGGATCATTGGGACCTGTGTATATTCCCCATTCCCGATCCGATAGTTCAAGAACTCGGAGCCACTCTGGATTGATTGCTCAAACGGATTGAGAATCACCGTGAATGTGTTCTCCAATCCAGGTTCAAGATATGTCGGATTCTGTGCTGCGATACCCAGAAGCGATGATGTCGCAATATCAATCTTGTACAGTTGTACACTCTCATTCATCCCGAGCGGGTTCGCAAAAATTTCAAAGATGTAATCACCCGAGTTCAAAGCTGGAAGTTCGAGTGGTTCAGGGAATCCTGCAGGGAATAGTGTCGCCGAGACCAAAGGATTGATCAGATCATCAGCGGCGTACACACGAATTTGCAGATCGTGAACGAGGTCGTAGTTTGTAAAGACCGCTTCGGGATCACTCACACTGCACATCTCTGTTTGTGGACCCTGTCGGTAGTTGCCTGCAGTTGGTGAAACGACAAAGTCCACCAAAGCAGGGTTCTGGAGTGTCAGTTTGAAATAATCGACATCCGTATAGTCATCCAGACTGTAGTTTTCGAATGTCATCTCCTCATTGATCGACATGCTTCCCAGATCAGTCGCAATTGCTGGGTTGTCGTTTGGTTCAGCAAAGTCACCATAGTGACGCTGTCCATTCAAGATGTCGTCAACCTGCGGCCCATCAAACTGGAACGATACGAACGGCTCCATGAGCTTGTTGTTCTCACGTGGACACACATGGAACATGCCGGCGCCGTGCCCGTGCTCGTGTGCTGTCACATTCCGGAAACCGAGTGAGTTTCCGCCGGTGTTGTTGAAGAAGCTGTCAAATGCATCAAAGACCATGTCCCCACCGAAAGATGGGAAGAAGTTGAACGCGAGCACACCTGAGTTCCCATCGAGGACCATCGCCGCGATACGGATGTCTCCGCGTGTGTTGAGCTGTCCGTCAAAGAACCGGAAGGTCACGCCATCGTCATTGGGTTCGTACACATAGCTCGTTCCTGTGAGCTCAGCCCAACGATCAAACACTTGTGCAAAGAGATCCTGCCAAACAGCGGGTGAGCCGTAAAGACTGTTCAACCAAGCGAACAACTGAGAGTTTCCAGCTCCGAACCCCGCATCTGGAATGAATGTCCCGTCCGGAACAAAGGAGTATGTGAAGATCGTTGGATCACCCTGTTGCAATCCTTCGCCGCTCAGCACTGTCCGATCCCAGCGTGGTGCTTGCTGGAATGCATTGGGATTCGTCGTCGACAGCATCTGTGTCGCGAGCCACACATAGTCGTTGTTTGTTTCTGGAGCGAAGCAAAGCTGCGGAACCACCACATCGGTATCGAGCGCATGCGCGATACTGTGGAGAGCGGACACTTGCTGGTCGCTCATCTCGTGATCGGTCATTTCTTTCAGCGAAGTTTCGAGCCATTCAGAAGCATCCTGCTGACCATCAAACGGCACCAGTGATCGCGCTTCGGTATTGTACAGATCAGTGCCGATCCCACCCGCAGCGATAATCTTTGCCTGTTCCTCTGCCGGAAGAGCTGGGAGCAGGGACTGTGCGATCAACTCCAGATCCTGTTCAACGCATTCAACAACGGCTTGCTCGTGTACACACGCGTCACAAGTCTCTGAAACACCCGCATGAGTCATTCCAGAAACCAACGCCATGACCGAACCAATGCCGGCCAACATCAATGATTGAACTCGCATAATAAATCCCTTTAAAATGATCAGCATGTCTCGCGTGAACGCGACTCACCTGCCCGACGCTCTCAGTTCATCCAAACACCGCCGAGGGTGAACAACAGCCCCCGGCATCCCCCGCGATGGATGCAAGTACTCCGAACAACAAAATTAGCCGATCAAACGCCGACTGTAAATACTGAATCTCAATAAGTTAACGAGATTTGACCGAATCCAAGGGGTTTTTAGCCAATCGATGACCACCGATAACAAATCGATGTGATCTCGGGACCGATTCGACCCAATCATGAAAAAACACCTCGGGGTCTCCCGAGGTGCGTCATAGATGCGAAGCTCGTTGCGAGTGTTTACTTGTCTTTCTTGAAGTAGTTGCCAGCAAACTTCTTCTGGAACTTCTCAACACGACCCGCAGCGTCAACAAAGGTTGATTTGCCGGTAAAGAACGGGTGTGAACCAGACCAGACATCCACTTTGAGCTCTGGAACCGTAGCGCCGACAGTCATCACGACCTCGCCGTTGTAGTAGACCTTGCATGACGGGTAGTAGGTTGGGTGGGTGTCGTTCTTCATGTCGATGTCCTTCCATATCCCCGGTTTCCATCCGGAGGGCGTCAAGCATAGCCTGCTAACCGAGCCTCGTCCAGCGTCTAAACCCATCTCAAGACGAAGCTTCTGGGAAAAACGCCAATTCCAGACCATAGAGAGGGTCAGATCGGTTCAGAACTCACAATCGCCGTACTGATTCAAGAACTCCGAAACATCAAGGAAGTTTAGGTTGCCATCACCAGTAAAGTCCACGGCCAGATCCCCGTCGCCGTATTTGGATAAGAAGTCTGACACATCGAGGAAGTTGAGCGATCCTGTAAAGTTCAGGTCCGCCCTGCACAGCCCGCCGCCTGTAACGATCCCGGTATTGGGTTCCGTTTCGTATCCTGCCGCGATCCAGCGGAACTGAACATCGAACATCGGATTGGTCTTGTCAGGAACACAAGTGAAAGCGCACTCTCCTGAGTACTGCTCAGTCACCTCAAAGGCGCTCCAGCCGTAGTACCAATCAGTTTCGCCGTCATTGCGCCAACGGAACGGGATGTACAGCACGCCATCTCCGGAATAGTTCGAAGTTTCGAACATACATCCTGGTTCACAGAATGGATCACCAGGATTCATGTGCTGCACAACATCAAGCACACTCCCAACATCACACAAAGGCTCGGTATACACCCAGCCACCAGTCGCCGCATCGACGATCGTGCCCGCAGTGATATTCATAAACCCAATATCCGCGGCTTCAGTGAACAGATTCCCAGGAAATGCACCAAAGCACTCAGTCCCGTTCTCAATCACCACCGGACGATAGTTTGATCCCAGAGCGCCACCGCTCAATGTTTCTGCATCCAGATCAAACGCAAGATCCGGATGCGCCACATCAATATCCTGAAGGTTGAATCGCTCAGGGGTCAGTGTGTCATCAGCCTGATGAACCACGACCGGTTCAGCAAGAGTGGCGGACGCGGCGATCGAAACCGAAATAGCAACGCTCATCTTCGAGTAAATCATCATGTCTCCTTGGTATCAAATGAATGAATCTATGTTCGCTGTAAACAAGCGAGTACTTCTAATGTACACAGATTCAACCATAAACACAACCAAAGAGCCGTGTCCGCAGGAAATATAGTGCTTTTGCCCCTTTATGCATCAGCAGATCTGAACAGTTCTTTGACTGTTTGCACTATAACTTAGAGCAGAGATTCCGGGTTTTGTAGCGATTCCACGATCTCAGCCAGTGCCAGAGCCGCCGTCGCTCCATCGACGACACGATGGTCACACGCAAGCGACAAAGGCATCCGCTTGCCAACCATCAGTTGGCCGTCCTGAACGACCGCACCGTCGTACGCCTTGCCGACCGCGAGGATCGCGACCTCAGGGTAGTTGATCACTGGGGTCGCAAAGCGCCCCGCGTGCGAGCCGACATTACTGATCGTGAAGGTCGAGCCCATCAGCTGCTCGCGAGGGATCGAGCGATCACGAGCACTCGCCGCGATCTGAGCGATCGACTGAGCGAGTTCAACGACATTCATCCGATCACTGTCACGAACGACCGGAACCATGAGTCCAGAATCCGTATCCGTCGCGATCCCAAGATGCACCGCACCGTACTGCACAATCTCTTGCGCTTCGTCATCCACGATCGCGTTCATCGCACCAAAGCGTCCCGCAAGTGATCTAGAAACCGCCGCACACACAAACGGCAGGAAGCTCAGCTTCACACCCGTCTGAGCCGTGACGTCCTTCCGCAATGAATCCAGAGCGGTCACGTCCGCCTCGTCAACAACTGTGAAGTGAACCGCTGTGTCCACGGCACTACGCAAGCGATTCGCGATCGTCCGGCGGACTCCCTTGAATGGAATCCGCGCTTCGCTGTGACCAGGCTGCACCATCCCCTGCTGAGCAGGATCAGGGATCGGACGATACGCTGCAGGTCCTTGGTATCCAGGAGCCGCCGGAACGCCGCCACCCATCGGTTGCCCGTAATGTGGAGGTGGCGGTGGAGGTGCATACCCATACCCAGGAGGTGGTGGCGGAGGAGCATACGCATATGGCTGATACCCGTATGCTGGTGGTTGATATCCATATTGAGGTGGATACTGCGGCGGATAAGGCTGCTGGTACTGTGCCGCCGGCGCCTGCTGCGGAGCGTATGAAGGCGAAATCTGAGTGGTTGGCAGATTCAACGGACGACGAGTCTCCGCCGGACGCACTGGTGCAGGCGCAGACGCAGCCGGTGCGCTCGCTGGTGCCGATGGAGCCGGAGCAGAAGCCGCAGGTGCTGCCGGACGAGCCGGAGCCGCGCCATCGCCCGCTTTCGCGTTCTCGATGTCCTTCTTGGTCACGCGTCCGCCGATGCCTGTGCCAACAACCGAGTTGATGTCAATCCCCGCATCCCGCGCCATGCGACGAACCGCCGGAGACGCGAGCGCTTTGCCATCGCTCGATCCCATCCCAGGAGTCGAGTCCGACATCTGTCCGACCACCGACCCCTGATCCTCTGGACGATCATCATCCGCTGCTGCCGCAGGAGCAGCCGCTGGTGCCGCCGCGGGAGCGTCATCTGGACCACCCTCGTAGGTCACGAACGGCGCGCCGACCTTGATGATGTCGCCGTCGTTGCCGTGCAATGTCTTGATCGTTCCCGCGCGAGGCGATGGAACTTCGACGAGCGCCTTGTCCGTCTCCATCTCCGCGATGACCTCGAGCTCATCGACAGTGTCGCCTTCCTTCACGACCCACTTAATGAGCTCGGCTTCTTCAAGCCCCTCACCAAGATCGGGAAGAATAAAGATGTTCGGATCAGATGAAACTTTGCCAGCCATATGTTCAGTCCTCTTCGCTGCACCAGTCAGTTGGTGGGCAGTGGGGGTCGTATCGAATCAATCACTCGTCAATCGCTCTCAGCCGTATCAGTACGCCAAGCACTCCTTGATCCCCTTCAGGATCCGAGGTGCCTCAGGCAGATACTCATTCTCCAGCTTGTAATACGGCATGATCGTATCAAACCCTGTCACACGCTGGACCGGTGCCTCCAGATGCAAGAAGCACTCCTCCATGATCCGTGCCGCGATCTCCGCACCAAGCCCGCACGTCAGCGGCGCCTCGTGCACAATCACGCACCGACCAGTCCGGCGAACAGATTCCGCGATCGTGTCCATGTCAAACGGATAGATCGAACGCAGATCGATCAGCTCCACCGACACGTCCTCAGGACAGTTGTCGATCGCTTCCAGACACTGGAACACCGGAGCGCCCCACGTCACGACCGTCAGGTCATCGCCTTCAACAACCGTCTTCGCTTCCCCGATCGGGATCTCGTAGTACTCATCAGGAACCTCTTCCTTAAAGGTTCTGTACACACGCTTGGGTTCAAAGAAGATCACCGGATCAGGGTCCTTGATCGCGCTATTGAGCAGCCCCTTCGCGTCATACGGCGTGCAAGGCATCAGCACCTTGATCCCAGGTGAGTGCGTGTAGATCGCTTCCGGAGAATCCGAGTGCAGCTCCGGAGCGTGGATACCACCACCAACAGGAACACGGACCGTCATCGGGACCGTGACCGCTGAGCGAGTGCGTGTCCGCATGCGTCCGCCGTGGTTCACGAGCTGGTCGTACGCCGGTCCAAGGAACCCCTCGAACTGGATCTCGGGGATCGACTTCATCCCAGCGATCGCAAGACCGATCGCCGTCCCCATGATCCCCGATTCATCGAGGGGCGTGGAGACCACACGATCCTCGCCGTGCTTCGCCATCAATCCTTCTGTCGCGCGGAACACGCCGCCGTTGGAACCGATGTCCTCACCGAGCAAGATGACCTCCGGATCACGCTCCAGCGCCTGATCCAGCGTCGAGGTAATCGCTCCAACTAGTGTTTGCTGTGCCATCAAGAAACTCCGTTAACCAATGACCGCGATCGTGGTCGCCGCGCTCATGTTGTTGCTGCTCTGCGACTGCTGATCGACAGCAGCCAGGTACTCATCAAAGGAAGCGGGAAGCGCCGAGTTGAGAATCTCCGCCACCTGCTCCGCGGGCTGCTTCACACGAACCGCCCCGCTCCAGTGTCCAAAGTCGATGTCTGCCTTCTCAGCACCCTTCGGGGTCACCGATCGCACATACGCGGCATTGATGTACCGCTCCTTGCCCTTGACATCGACAATCTTCACCATCATTACTGGATCTCCGCCGCCTGAGCATTGAGCCCGATCTGCGATGGATTCCGCCCAATCGAGCTCGTCCGCATCGTGTCCCGCTGGACCTTCAGGTCCTCCGGAAGATCCGCGTACATGTCATCAAAGAACTCGCTGCTCTCAGGTGCAGGCACCGAGATCGCCGCATCGACCACTTCCTTGACAATGGTCTTGGCGCGATTCTCAAGCTCTTCCTGCTTCTTGTCGTCCCAGATCCCGACCGATTCCATGTACTTGCGCGTACGGATCAGCGGGTCCTTATCGAGCCAAGCGTGTAGTTCTTCCTCATCGCGGTACCGACGCGCATCGTCCGCCGTCGTGTGATCCGCAAGACGGTAAGTCACGCCTTCGATAAACGATGGCCCGCCACCCTCGATCGCACGCTTGCGCGCGTCCTGGGTCGCTTTGTACACCGCGAAGATGTCGTTGCCGTCCACCTGAATCGTCGGCATGTCATACGCCAGCGCCTTCTGCGCCACCGTCGCGGAGTTCATCTGCTGCTCGCGAGGGAGCGAGATCGCCCACGAGTTGTTCTGACAATAGAAGATCGTCGGGACCTGCATCACCGACGCGAAGTTCATCGCGTTGTGGAAGTCACCCTCCGAGGTCGCTCCATCACCGAAGTACGTAATGACCGCACGATCCGCTTCCTTCCGCTGCTTGAACGCCCAAGCGATCCCAGTCGCGTGGAGCATGTGCGTCCCGATCGGAACACTCAAAGGCGTAATGTTCACACCCTCCGGGAACTTCGATCCACGCTCGTCACCCATCCAGTACTGGATGACATAGTGCATCGGCATGCCGTGCATGAACAGCGCCGCGTTCTCGCGATACGAAGGCACGACCCAGTCGTTCCCCTTGACCATCGCAAGAGCAGACCCAACCGCGTTCGCTTCCTGCCCCTTGTTCTGCGGATAGGTCCCCATCCGCCCCGAACGCTGCAGCTTAAACGCGATCTCATCAAGCTCTCTACAGACACGCATCTGCTCGTACAGATACACGACCTGATCGTCCGTCAGCGTGTCCTTCGCGAGCTTCTTATCAAGCTTCCCGTTCTCATCAAGAATCTGCAGATGCTCAATCTTGGCTTCATACACAGTATGGTGTGGCATAAGTACTCCTACCCCCTTGCTCGCTCAAACTCAATCTGTCGGAGACCACCGCGCCTCCGTCGATTGTTAAGCGGCGGGCGAGCAGTTCCAAAGCTCACCTGAGGGATGGAACTATAGGTTCAAACAAACGGTTTGGCAGTAAAAAAACGGGGCAACGCAACCGCTTGCCCCGCCGCTCTTTGCTCAAAAAGAACGCTTTCCAAATGTCAACTCAAGACCCGAAACAGTTTCAGCTCAACTGCTCAATCGTCTCGCTCATGTGCTCACGACCAGTCCCGCCGTGCACAGCGCCAGTGGTCCCTGGGAACTGCTTAATGTGCTCAACAGGAAGCTCGCGTCCAGTCCCCTTATCGCTCGGCGAGCTCTCTGGGATCGCAAACAACTTGTTATCCAGCGTGCTCGAGTGCGCAAACGCCGCCTTCGCGGCTTCGAGCATCGTGTCATCAGCATTCTCGTGCAGCTCACGGAACGCCTGATGGATCGCGAGCTCCGCGACATCAAAGAAGTGGATCGCCGACGCCTTGTTGCGCTCAAACTCCGTCCCGGACTCGCCGTTGCGGATGTCCATGTCCAGACGCGACAGCGTGCAGTTCCACGCGTGGATGTACATCGCCGCGTCCGCGAGCCGTGCCTGGGTTGCCTGCGCCGTAACAATGGCCGCGTCCTTCTTCTTGGAGATGATCTTGAACTGGTACGTCAGCTCAGAGATCAGTCGGCACACGCGCTGCCCGTACGGACTCAGCGATGGGTGCAGCTTGTTGATCTGCGGTGCCTTGTTGCGAATCCCGAGGAACACCTCGCGACCCAGCGGCAGCGCCGCCTTGATCATCGTCGGCGTGAACTTCTTGTTGTCCGCCATCTCCTTGATACCCAGCATCTTCTCCGCGAGCTGCTTGCCGCCGTACGCGAAGATGAACGACTGCATAACCTCGTTCGCGCCTTCGACGATCGTGTTGATGCGAGAATCGCGGAAGATCCGCTCAAGCTCGTTCTCCGTCATCGTGCCCTCGCCGCCCATGATCTGCAGCGCGTTGTCCACCGTGCGCCAGCCCATCTCCGAGCAGAAGACCTTACAAATCGCGGTCTCCAGCATGATGTCCTCATCATGACGATCCAGCATACCAGTCGTCATGTACAGCACCGAATCCATCGCGTACGCCAGAGCCGACATGTACGCGACGCGCTTCTGCACAAGCTCAAAGTCCGCGATCGGACGCTGGAACTGGTAACGCGTCTGCGCCCATTTGATCGACTGATCCATAGCCGTCTTCGCGCCACCGAGCATGCCCGCAGAGAGCGTACAGCGACCATAGTTCAGACAGGTCAGCGCGACATTGAGCCCCTTGCCCTCCTTGTGGAGCAGGTTCGCCTTGGGAACGCGGACATTGTTGAAGCGGATCCGTGCCTGCCAGGTCCCGCGGATACACATTTTGCTGCGATTCTTGGAGAAGATCTCGATCCCCTCCATGTCAGGCGTGCACACAACCGCCGTCACGCGCTCCTTGCCGTCGATCTTCTGCTTACCCATAACGGTAAACAATCCAGAGATCGCGCCGGAGGTCGCCCATTTCTTCTCGCCGTTGACGATGTAGTACTCGCCATCGTCCGTGACCTCGATGGTCGTCTCCTGACCACCCGCATCACACCCCACCTGCGGCTCTGACAAACAGAACGCGCTCAACCACTCGCGAGCGAGCTTCGGGAGCCAGCGTTCCTTCTGCTCATCGGTGCCGTAGAGCATGACCGCTTTACACCCGATCGACTGGTGCGCCGAGACCATCACCGCCGTCGATCCACACCGAGTCCCGAGCGTCTCAAGCACACGGTTGTACGAGGTGATCCCCATACCAAGCCCGCCGTGCTCCTTGGGGATAGTCATCCCGAGCACACCCATATCAAAGAGCTTCTTGATCACCCACTCAGGAATGTACTGCTCCTGATCGATCTCCACCGCCGGATGCTCGTTCTTCAGGTAGTCCTTGAGCTCCGCGACCAGCTTGTCACACTCCGCGACCTCTTCAGGGGAGGTCTTGGCAAGCTCCGGATACGGATACAGCAGATCCTCACGCAGCTGACCCCAGAAGTAGTTCTTGACCGCCCCCATATCGCTTGGTTCAGGTCCGAGCAGCGTCTCCGCATCCGCGATCATCTTCTGATCACGCTCCGAGACACCCTTCATATTCTTGAGATCCGCTTTCTTTACATCTGCCATTGGTTGTTTCTCCTGAAGAAATCACGTCGAGCAGCTTTCATGCCCGCCGTGCTGTGTGTTGTTTACTTACCCTTGTTGAAGAACGCGTTGATCGCTTCCTGTGCAGGTTCCGTGTGCCGCAAGCGGACCAAGTGATCCCGCTCCCGCTGCAGCGCGTCCTTCCATCCAGACCCGATCCCGACCTCAACCGCATCACACACCGCATCGGTGTGTGGCTGTGATTCAAGCTCGTTCCGCGCGTCGTTCAATGCTTCTTTGAGTTCGTCTGGGTCATCGCGCCCGATGCACCGCATCGGCGCCCCGTCCCGCGTTGGTTGCTCCTGCGAGCCCACCCAAGCACGCGCCGCCGGGATCAGTTCCGCAGCGTCCGATACCGTGACATCAAACAGCCCCAGCTCATCCGCCTGGTCCGACTTCATCGCGCGTCCATTCGCCGTCATCACGATCGCGTCCTTCGCGTCGATCCGCGATGGGAGCAGGTTCGTCCCGCCCCACCCAGGACAGATCTTCAATCCCGCCTCAGGGAGCCCAATCAAAAACGGCTTCGCTTCCGGATCAATCAACCCGATCAATCCATCGCAGTGCATCGCCAGTTCCAGACCACCCCCCAGCGCCACCGAATGAATCGCGGCAGCAGTGGGGCAGTTCAAGTCAGCGATCTTCTGGAACACGCGAGCACCAAACTCAAGATACTCGTGCAGCCCCGCATCATCCATCGCCATGATCGCTTTGAGATCCGCGCCAGCAACAAACGCGCGAGGCGCCGACGATGCAAGCACAAACCCACCAAGATCATCAGGCAGCGAATCAAGCGTCGCATCCAATCGCTGCAACAGCGACTCATCAATCACCACCACCGGACGGCCAGGCTGATCCAACGTCAACACCGCAATGGTGGCACCATCAGCGTTCGTGCTCAGCTCAACCGGCAGTAAATCTTGAACCACAGGAATGTCTCGCTCTTGCGGAGGTGAGATCGTCATTCTTCCGACGATCACCGCGCGGATCCGCAGCTCCAGCGGTCAGATATCCTATGCACGACGAACCTGTTTTGACAGTCAAAAAACCAGCGTTGCACCCTATCCCAAGCACCCAATCTCCTCCCCCGGGCTTCCGGGGGAGGTGTCCGCGCAGCGGACGGAGGGGGTCGCGTAAACCTATTTCATGCGGGCCGATAACGCCGCCTGCGCTTCAGCAGTCCCAAGCACTTGCGCGCTCAGCTTCGCCCCCTCAAGCACCATCCCCGCCTCGACCACACCATCAATCTTGTTCAGCAGCCCCTTCGTGGTCGCCAGCGCATGCGCACCGCCGCTCGCAAGCCGCTCGACAATCTCATCTGTCAATGCATCAAGCCCTTCGCGATCCTCCGCGAGATGATCAATCAAACCAACCGCCGCCGCCTCCGCGCCCGACATGATCCCCCCCTTGAGCATCGCCGCGCGAGCGCGTCCCGCGCCCATCTTCGCAACCACCCAAGGCGCGATCACCGCCGGACACAACCCAAGATCCACCTCAGGGAACCCCAGCTTCGCATCCGCATGCGAAACACTCACATCACACACACAACTCAAACCACACCCACCCCCAACCGCGGCCCCGTTTACCTTTGCCACCGTCACCATCCCGAGCTCACGGATCTTGATCGTCAGCTCCGCAAGACTCCGCAGCAAACGCCCCCCAAGCGTCTCATCCCCCGACAACTCAACAAGTACGGCCTTCAAATCCATCCCCGCACAAAACGCCTTGCCCGCCCCCGTAATCACCAACACGGAACACTCCGAGCCCCTGAGCGCATCCACATGCGCATGCATCGCCTCAAGCATGTCCAAAGACATTGAGTTCCGCGCCTCGCCGCGATTCATCACCAAAGTCGCGACCCGTCCATCAATCGTCATAGTTGCCAGTTCACTCATTGCAATACCTTAATCCTTCGCGCCCCATAATGCCCCAAGCATCCGCTGCTCCTCATCACTCCCCACCCGCGACAACGACGCCTGCAATCCATCCCCGCCAAGCTCACTCGTCCCCTTCGTAATCAAGTTCACTAAACGCTTCGTCTCCCGCACTCCATCGCCAGGCTTTGCCGCAAGCGACCGCGCCAGCTCCATCGTCCGCTCGCGTACCGCCTCCGCATCCGCAACAACCTCATGCACCAGCCCGATCGCAAACGCCCGCTGAGCGTCGATCAACCCCGGATCCAGCATCAATGCCCGCGCCGGCCCAGCCGGGATCGAAGACATCAAAAACGCCGCCGACACCGCAGGCGACACCCCGATCTTCACCACCGGATACCCAAGCAACGCCCCCTCATCCGCAACAACCACATCCGCGCCCCCAAGCATCGCGCACCCACCCGCGATCGCGCACCCATGCACACCCATCACCACAGGCACCGCCGCTTCACGCATCGCAACAACGCACCTCGACAACCCCGTCAACAACCCCCGCATCGTCTCGCCCGATTCATCGGCCGCGCACGCCTTGAGATCAAACCCCGCGCAAAACACCTTCCCATTCCCAAGCACCGCGATCGACCTCGTGTCATCGCCGATCCCTCGAACCGCCGATTCAAACGCCGACAACATCTCAGGGAGCATCGCGTTGCACTTCTCACCCCGATCCAGCGTGATCGTCGTGACCCCATTTGCTGAGCGTACATCGATCATCAGAGCAGCCCCCCCGCATAGATCGACGCCTGCACCATCAAGTCCCGATCCACCCGAGTCTTGAGCCCAGATGCCGAGACCGCATCGAGCACATCAAGCGTCGAAACATTCCCCGGCGCCCGCGTCGTCTCCGTCGATGCATACGGACACCCACCAAGCCCCCCAGCCGAACCATCAAACGATCGCACCCCAACCTCCAGCGCCCGCTCAATACACGCACCAGCATTCCCAAACGTATCGTGCAAGTGCAGCGTCAGGGTCGGATCACCAAAGTCATTGAGCGCCCGCCCATCGAGCCGATCAATCACATCAATCAACACCTGCTCGATCGAGTCCGGAGTCCCCGCCCCGATCGTGTCCCCAAGATCAATCTCGTCGACCCCAAGCTCAAGCAACCGCTCCGCAACATCCGCGACCTGCGACGCCGGGATGTCCCCATCAAACGGACACCTGACAATACAAGAGATGTACCCCCGCACCATCAACCCCTGCGCATGCGCCTCAGGAATAATCGGCGCAAACCGCTCGAGCGTTTCCTCAATCGTCGCGTTCGTGTTCTTGAGCGAGAACCCCTCGGAAGCCGCGGTAAACACCGAAACCTTATCGATCAGCCGTTCAACGCCGTGCTTCTCCCGCGCATCGTGATTGACCGCAAGCGCCCCCTCAAACCCCTTCATGTTCGGCACCAGCGCCGAGTAGCACACCCCATCCCGCTTCGTCGGCGCGATCAGATCAAACACCTCCGCCGCGTCCCCGAGCTGAGGCACCCACTTAGGAGACACAAAGCTGCTCACCTCAACCTCATCGACCCCCGACGCCTCTACCTTCCGCACAAGCTCCGCTTTCTTGATTGCATCCACAACCACCGACTCCGCTTGGAGTCCATCGCGAGGAGACACGTCCGTGATCCGTACCTGTCCATTCATACCTGCAACACACCCGTCTTCAAATCCCGCGAGTAATCCCACCCCTGATTCGCCGCATCCAGCGACGCGATCAACTCCTCGCGAGTCTGGTGGGGCTCGATGATCCGATCCACCCACCCGCGAGCGGCGCCGTGCCGGATATCCTGCTGCTCGTTGTACGAATCCGCGACCGCATCAAGAATGGCCTTGTGCGTCGCCTCGTCGATCTCCTCGCCCTTGCGAGCCCTCGACCGTTCCTCGATCATCGCCAGCGTCCCCGTCGCCGACCCCGCGCCCATTACGGCACATTTACTGCCGGGCCACGCCATCGCAACAAACTGATCAAACGCCCGCCCGCACATCGCGTAGTTCCCCGCGCCAAACGACCCACCCAGAATCACCACAATCTTCGGCACCACACAGTTGCTCATCGCGTTCACCATCTTGGCGCCGCTGCGGATAATCCCGCCCTGCTCGCTGTCACGCCCCACCATGAACCCCGTTGTGTCGTGGAGGAACACAATCGGGATCTTCCGCTGATTGCAATCCATGATGAACCGCGCCGCCTTGTCCGCGCTGTCGTCATAAATGACCTTCGGCATATTCACCGACTTGCTCGGACCCGCCTTCCCACCAGGCAACTGCCGCTCGCTCATCTTCGCCTGATTCGCGACAATCCCGCACGCGTGCCCGCCGATCTTCGCGTACCCGCACACCAGCGACTGCCCGTACTCCTCTTTGTACTCATCAAAGTCCGGCGCCAGCACCTGCTCACCGTCCACCGTGCGCGAACCCGTATCCACAATGCACGAGATGATCTCCTTCACATCGTACTGCTGACCAGGCTTATCCGTGAACACGCTGTAGATGTCCTCCGGATCACGATGCGGATGCTGCCGCTTGCGTTCCGCCGCATCAACCACGGCCGCACGATCCGGATACTTCGCGACCAGCGACCGCAGCCGTTCGATACACGACTCATCATCCGGCTCGCGGAAATCAATCGTCCCCGAAATCTGCGCGTGCATCTGCGCCCCGCCCAGTTCCTCATCACTCACATCCTGCCCGATCGCCGCCTTCACCAGCGCCTGACCCGCAAGATACAGCCCAGAGCCCTCCGTCATCAGCAGCGTGTCGCACAGCACCGGCAGATACCCACCCCCAGCGACACAAAACCCCATGATCGCCGAGATCTGCGGAATCCCCTCCGCGCTCATCACCGCGTTGTTGCGGAAGATCCGGCCAAAGTCATCCGTGTCCGGGAACACATCCTCCTGCATCGGAAGAAACACCCCAGCAGAGTCCACCAGATAAATCAAAGGCAGCCGCGCCATCTGCGCCATCGTCTGCGCGCGGATAATCTTCTTGCACGTCATCGGGAAGAACGCGCCCGCCTTCACCGTCGCGTCGTTCGCGATAATCATGTGCCGAACTCCCTCGACAACACCGATCCCCGTCACCACCCCAGCCCCCGGCGCTCCCCCGGCTTCCTTGTACATATTGAACGCCGCCCACAACCCAAGCTCCTGGAACGAGCTCCCCTTATCAATCAACAGATCAATCCGCTCCCGCGCCGTCAACCGCCCCTTCGCGTGCTGCCGCTCGATCGCCTTGGGACCACCCCCAAGCTTGATGCCCGCCTCAGTCTCAAGAAACTCCGCCGTCAGATCACGCAATGTCGATGTAGATTCAGCCATGGTCACAGAGGATAGGAGCACTCCCCCAAATCTTCCCCATTCCATGCCCCCTCAGACCCCTTGCAGCCGCGCCCAATCCCCCGTACCGTGTTGCTATGAACAACACCCTAAGCCGTGCCGTCATCGCCCTTTCGATCCTCCTGCTCGCGTGCAGCCCGCTCGCGTACGCACAAGACGAAAAAGAAGATTCAAACTCCAGCCCCGCCTTCGTCATCTACCCCGACGAATCCTCCATCACCTACCACACTGTCACCATCCACGGCACCCCAATCCACTACCAAGCCACCGCAGGCACCATCACCATCACCTCCCTCCGTGGAGACCACGAACCCACCGCGCAGATGTTCTACATCGCGTACAAAAAACTCGACGCACCACACGATGAAAGCAGCGACGACTCCACCGACCCAACCTTCCCCGACGCCGCTACAAGACCCATCACCTTCTCCTTCAACGGCGGTCCCGGCTCCAGCTCCGTTTGGCTCCACCTCGGAACCTTCGGACCAATGCGCGTCAACCCCATCGACGACTTCGGAAACCCCGGCCCTCCACCCTACAAACTCGTCGAAAACGAATACTCCCTCCTCGACCAATCCGACTTCGTCTTCATCGATCCCGTCACCACCGGATTCTCCCGCGCCGCCAAAGACAAGAGCGAAAAAGACTTCCACGGCGTCAACCAAGACATCCGCTCAGTCGCCGAGTTCATCCGCCTCTACCTCGGAAAGGAAAAACGCTGGGGATCACCCAAATACATCGCCGGAGAGTCTTACGGCACAACCCGCGCCGCCGGTCTCGCAGACGAACTCCAATCCACCCACGGCATCTCACTCAACGGCGTCATCCTCGTCAGCGCCATCATGAACTTCCAGACCGCACGCTTCGATGTCGGCAACGACCTCCCATACCCCCTCTACCTCCCAAGCTTCGCCGCCACCGCCAAGTTCCACGACGCGCTCTCAAGCAAGTACCAGCGCATGGACCTCGAAAAATTCCTCCGCGAAGTCGAAGAGTTCGCGATGAACGAATACACCCTCGCCCTCGCCGCGGGAGATCAGCTCTCTGACAACAACCGCGAAGACATCGCATCCAAACTCGCCGACTACACCGGACTCAGCAAGGACTACATCCTCCGCACCAACCTCCGCATCACCATGCCACGCTTCCCCAAAGAACTCCTCCGCGATCGAGGAGAAACAGTGGGGCGTCTGGACTCGCGCTTCAAATCCTTCGACCGCGACGACGCCGGAGAGTCCTACGAGTACGACCCAAGCATGGTCGCGATCAAAAACATCTACACCGAATCCATGAACGAGTACCTCAGAGGAGACCTCGACTACCAGTCCGACATGCGCTACGAGATCCTCACCAATGTGTGGCCGTGGTCATTCAAAGGAGTCGCCGACAATCAGTACCTCAACATCGCCGAGCGCCTCCGCAAAACGATGCACAAAATCCCCAACATGAAAGTCTTCATCGCCAACGGCTACTACGACCTCGCCACCCCATACTTCGCGACCCAGTACACCATCGACCACATGTTCCTCCGCCCTCACCTCAAGCAGAATATCTCCATGCACTACTACGATGCCGGACACATGATGTACGCCGAGCACTCCATGCTCAAGAAACTCAAAGACGACCTCGACGAGTTCTACCAAGAGCGCACGCAAGATTAAACACAGGGCCATCGCATGTTCTCATTCCCGCCATTCCCCCCATACGAAGGCCTGCACCCCCTCGTCGTCCACTTCCCCCTCGGACTGCTATTAGTCGCGTGGATCCCCATGCTCTTCTGCGTCATCGACAAAAAGCGCCGAGGCAAATGGATGCACACCGCCCTCACCCTCCTCGTCATCGGAACCCTCTTCACCTTCGCCGCCGTCATCACCGGCGAAGCCACCGAAAAAATTATCGGCACCACAACCCAGCAGATCCACGACGCCGTCCACGAGCACGAAGAAACCGCCGAGTCAGCGCGCAACTACTTCATCGTCACCACCGTGCTCTTCTGCTTCGCCGTCATCGCACGAAAGCAGCTCGAAGCAAGCAAGAAGAAACCCGCACTCATCGTCATCGCGATCCTCGTTGCTCTCGGATACACCCTAGGCTCCCTCGCCCTCATCAACGCCGGACACCAAGGCGGAGTCCTCGTCCACCACCACGGCATCCACGCACCAATTCACAACTCAATGCAACCCTAGTGCAATCAGAAACTATAGAGGTTGATGAACAGATTCCTTGTACCACTGGTTCTTTCGCAATCGATCCTGCTTGCATCGTGCAGCCCAGCACAAAGCAACTCAGCACAACTAGACACGCAGATTCTTGAACTCTGGACCCAAGGAGCCGCCCCTGGAGTGCAAGTATGCGTGCGCTACAACAAAACCGAGTGGTCTCGCGCAACTGGTTACGCAGATATCGAATCCCAAATCTTGATGGATTCAGACACCCCTATCCGCGCCGCGAGCCTCACCAAACCTATTACATATGCAGCGGTCATGGAGCTTCAAAAGCAAGGCCTGCTCACAATTGAAGACACGATCGATACACACCTATCAAACGATCTCACCGACGGACTCCCCAACACAAGCACCATCACAATCCTTCATCTACTCGACCATCAATCAGGCCTCTACAACTTCAACGGCTCAGACGATGCCCCATTCTTCAAAGACCTCATCGAAGATAAACGCTTTGATCATCATGTGCCAACACCAAGCGAACTACTCCGCTACGCCCACAACCAATCCATGTTCAAACCCGGAACACAAACCGCATACTGCTCGACAAGCTACATCATCCTCGGACTCATCATCGAGCAAGTAACCAACAAGCCCTACCACGAAGCTATACGTGAGCTCATCCTCGATCCATTAGAGATGCGCCACACCAAACTCGAAGGTTACGAAGCAACCCACAAACCAATCGCTCATGCCTATTCCACAACCGCGCTCCGAAGAAGCCCACTCTTCGCATCTATAGATCTTGTGTCGATACCAAACACCAACATCGTCAACCTCTCTTCCAAAACTAGCGTGTACAACGCGTGGGCCTGGTCCGCCGGCGCGTATACGACCACCGCCTCTGATCTCGCGAAGTTTGGTCAAGCTGTGCTTGATCGCAGGATCACCGCGATGTCTGACACTGAAGAACGCTTCGCGAGACCCGACCCCCAATCTCGATACGATTGGAACGGAGGGTCCTTCGGAATCACAAGTTCACTCTGGATCGCACCGAAACACGGCGTTGTGGTCGCCGCGATCACCAATGCTGACAACGAATCAAACAATCGTCAATGGATAGCCGACCTCGTGCAGCCACTCGAAGAAACAGCAATAAAAATAATCCAGGATACCCTTTCGAAGCCGTGATCGAAGCCTGGGGTGTATACAAACACCTGTGACCACACTCCGCTCCATCCTGCACGTCGACATGGACGCCTTCTTCGCGTCCGTAGAACAACGCGACAACCCCGCACTCCAAGGCAAACCCGTCCTCGTCGGAGGCGACGGCCCGCGCGGAGTCGTCGCCGCCGCGTCCTACGAAGCACGCAAGTTCGGATGCCACTCCGCCCAGCCCACAGTCATCGCCAAACGCCTCTGCCCCGATGCGATCATCGTCTCGGGACGCCACTCCGATTACCGAGCAGTCTCGAAACAAGTCTTCGAAATCCTCGAACGCTTCTCTCCCGCGATCCAGCCCATCTCCATCGACGAAGCGTTCCTTGATGTCACCGGCTCAACCAAGCTCTTCGGATCACCCATCGAGATCGCGCAGCAGATCCGCGCCCTCATCAAACAAGAAACCCAGCTCACCTGCTCCGTCGGAGTCGCGCCCAACAAGTTCCTCGCCAAGCTCGCCTCCGACATGGACAAGCCCGACGGCCTCACCGTCATCCACCCAGACCGCATCCAACAAACCCTCGACCCACTCCCCATCAACACACTCTGGGGAGTCGGACCAAGCACCGAGCGCACCCTCCACAAACTCGGGATCCGCACTGTCAAAGACCTCCGCAGCCACCCGCTCGAATCCCTCCACGCCCGCATGGGAGACCTCGGCGCCCACCTCCACAAGCTCGCCCAAGGCCTCGACGACCGCCCCGTCCGCATCGACCGACAAGCCAAATCCATCTCCCACGAGCACACCTTCGAGACCGACCTCGAAAGTCCAAACGAAGTCCGCGCCCTGATCGCACGCCAATCCCAAGACGTCGCGATCCGCCTCCGTAAACACAACCGCTACGCACGCACCGTCAGCATCAAAGTCCGCTTCGGAGACTTCGAAACCATCACCCGCTCGATCACCCTCGATAACCAGACCGACGAAACCCGAGTCATCCACGACTCAGCCCGCACCCTCTTCGACGAGTGGGCCAAATCCTTTCGACCAGTAAGGCTCATCGGAGTCGCCGTGTCCCAGCTCACCGATGCCCCCGCGTCACCCGGCCTTTTCGACACACAAGACCACGCCAAAGACCGAGCCGTTGATCGTACTTCTGATCAGATCAACACCCGCTTCGGAAAGGACGCGCTCACCCGCGCCTCCGCGCTCAAAGCCAAACCCCGCCACGGCACCCACGGCCCAGGAAGCGCCCCTGAAGAACACCGCTAACTCAATCAGTCTCCGACTCTACAACACGAACACTCCGCGCCAGCTCCAACCGAACACGCTCATGCAGCGAATCCTCATCCAGCGCATCGACCGCCTTCTCCACACGCTTGACCGCACCCTTGCGAGGAAGCGCCAAGTGACACACCGGATCCCCAGGCGCGACAGATGGCAGCGTCGTCATCCCGAGCACCACCCCAGTCTCCGGCGCATGAACCACATTCTGCCGCTCGCCAATCAGATCCGTATTCGTCGCCAGCGCCTGCCCCTTGCGAACAATGTCCCCCGCAGACACATGAAACTCCAAGAACCCGCCCTGAGCAGCACGGATCCACTTCGTCGTCTTCGTCACCAATCGAAACACCGGCTCAACAATCTCCCCATCAATCATCTCAAGAAAACGCAAGCAGTTCATAATCCCGCGAACCGCATACTCCACAACCCCCGCCTCAACCTTCCAAACCTCCCCTGCCTCAAGAATCAGTGTCGCGCACCCAATTTCACACGCGCTCGCCCGCAGCGACCCCTGAGGCCCCTTGCTATCGACAATCAGCGAAGCACCAAACGCATTGGCAAACGCCGCGAGCTTTTCGTTGTCCATGTCGGCGCGCACGTTGGGGAAGTTCGTCCGACGCACCGCCGCTGTGTGCAGATCGATGCAGTAATCACACCCCCGGATCACCTGATCAAAGAACGACCGCGCCATCCGGCTCGCAAGACTCCCCTCCTTCGAGCCCGGGAAACTTCTGTTGAGGTCACGCCGATCCGGAAGATACCGCGAGTGCCGCTCAAACCCCATCATGTTTATGACTGGCACCATCACCAACGTCCCCGCCTTGAGCTCAAAGGGCTGCTCACGGATGATGTGCCGGATCGTCCCCGTCCCATTGATCTCATCGCCGTGCACCGCCGCCGTGACCGCAACAGTGGGGCCGTCCTCCTCGCCGCGCCACACATAGATCGGGATCTTGATATCAATCCCGGAGTACCCCTCCGAGATCGCGATCGACACCGAGCCGGAGGACCCGCGTTCAATCTGCTCCCAAACATGCACATGATCCGAATCAGGTCCCATCAGGAAATACCCTCAAGCTCTTCGATCTTCTGAGGATCAAGTTTCTTCGCCTTGGTCTTGCGCTTGCGTTTCTTCTTCTCCGGAATCAGATCACGCATCGCCTCAAGCTTGCCGTAGCACAACAAACTGTCATCCGCTTCCAGTTCGCGAGTTCCCTTCGGATTCGAGATCACCTTGATCCCGCGATGCAGATTCAGAATCGTAAAGTCCCGCTCGCGCAGTCCAGACTCCGCGATCGTCTTCCCAACAAGCTCCGACCCCTCCGGGATCACGATCTCCGCGACCCCGACCCCCTTCGAAACCGTCAACCGCTGGCGCACATCAATCTCAGGGAAGTTCACCTGACTCGCGATGTAATCAATCACCGCCCCCGCGATATCCAGCCCCGTTGCGCCCTCGATCCCCTCAAGACCAGGAGACGAGTTCACCTCCATAATCTGAGGCCCATCATCCCCCTCCAGCATGTCCACACCCGCGACCCGCAGCCCCATGATCTGCGCCGCGCGGACCGCCGCCTCTTCAAACTCTGGTGGAAGCTCGATCCGCTCCGTCCTGCCGCCACGATGCACATTGCTCCGGAACTCATCCCCCTGCGCCACGCGCCGCATCGCCGCGACGACCGTGTCCCCGACCACAAACGCGCGAACATCCTTGCCCTTGCTCTCCTTGATGAACTTCTGCACCAGCACGTTCTGCTTCGCGTTCTGCAGCGTCTCGATGATCCCCTCAGCGACCTTCGTAGTCTCCGCAAGAATTACTCCGACCCCCTGCGTCCCCTCCAGAATTTTGATCACCACCGGAGCGCCCCCCAGCCGCTCAATCGCCGGCAGCACATCCGCACGATCGCGCACAAAGGTCGTATGCGGAATCCCGATCGCATGCCGACTCAGAATCTGCATCGACCGAAGCTTGTCACGTGAGTTCGTGATCCCGTTTGCGGTATTTGGCGTGTACACATCCATCTGCTCAAACTGACGCACCACCGCCGTTCCAAAGTACGTGATCGAAGCCCCGATCCTCGGCAGAATCGCGTCATACTCACTCAAGACCTTCGAGCGGAAATACAGATCCGGCTCCCCCTCCTCAAGCTCGAGCGTAAACCGGAGCGTATTGAGCACCTTCACATCATGCCCACGATCCACCGCCGCCTGCTTGAGCCGCTGCGTGCTGTAGCACTTTGGAGCTGTAGAAAGAATACCGATTTTCATGATGACTTCTTTTCCATCTTCTTCTTGGATTTTCCTGTGATCACATACTTCCTCGACGAATCCACGAAGTACCGCCCCGCCAGCGCCTCACGCCCGATCAACATTCGGCACAGCATCCCCTTCCGGCACACCAATCCCACCTCCGCATCAAACTCATCATCCCCGATCCGGATCCGTGTGTGACAGATCACCCGCTCGCTCGCCTCGCCGCTGCTGGGTTTCACGCTCGTCACACGATGACACGGCGCCTCCACCCAACGAGTCTTCCGCTCAGGTTCTGTCCGATACACAATCTCAAACCGCACGTGCGTGTCATCGATCATCTCGTACTGAGCCACATCAATCGCGCTCGTCTTCGCCCCAGTATCAAGCTTCGCGCGAACCCGTCGGACCTTCCAGTCAGGAAGATCAACCCGCTCACGCCACCCAGCCACAACTTCTCGATCAGACATTGGGATTCTCAAAGACAAGGACCATGCCAGACGCAACCGATCTGCTCGACCCCATTGTATTCGAGATCACCCAACCATAAGCACCGTCTGTCAACACAAAAAAGACGGCCCCGAAGGACCGCCTTCACGATACAAACACAACAACAAAGTATCAGCTCACGCCCGTCGCCGCCGCGCCGCGAGCAACCCACCTAAGCCAACCAGCGCAAGCCCCGACGGAGCAGGAACCGTTTGCGCCGAAAACGCAAACGAGTACCCAGTCCCGATCTCAAACGCCTCGCCAAGCTCTCCCTCAGTCCGCTCTAGACCACGGAAGTAGAAACTCAAGCTGTACACGCCAGGCCCAACAACAATATTTACCGCATCAGAATACGAATACGCATCCATCTCATTGTCGCGCCGAGTCGTGTGCAGCACATCCCCATCAGGATTCGTCGTGATATCCCTCAGCGACACGCGACTCGAAACCAGCCCGTGCTCAGATCCAAGATTCCAATAGTCATACGAAAGATTCATCTCAACCGCTTGATCTGTTTGGAACTCCACAATCACGGATGAATACACGCCATACATAGGCATATGCCTCGGATCACCGATCAATCCGGAAATACTCCCGCTCGACTCGCCAGCCATCGAGATCAGATCCGAATCCATCCCGAAGCTCACCGCAAGCCCCACCCCAGCGGTGACCATGTCATCGGGACCTCCTTCACCATGCACTACGACGCTGTCGTCAAAGTCTACAAAATCGGGACCGGTGATCCGCGTCTGCTCAAGCGGCTCGCCCACCGGCATCGGCCATCGATTCACATGAGCCGAGTGATGCTCGTTCACCGGAACAATCGCCGCCTCCGCCACGCCATTCAGCGCAGCACAAAGACCCAGGCACGCCATCGGTGCCGCTGACAAATAGTTCATTGCTGAACTCCTTCTACTTGTCGGGAATCAAAATGAATAAAAAAGTTCGTTCCCACGACCATTCCCGTCAATCGCGGGACTGGTCTATACGCTCGTTCCATAAATCTGTTTCAACTTGGTATCATGCAACACATACCCCAGTCAGTGACAGGCCGCATCATGACTCCAGCATCCATCTTCCTCAATTTCCTTGGAATCTACTTCGCGATTGGGGTTGTCGTTGGGGTGGCCTTTGTCCTCAATGGGGTCAGGAAGGTCGATCCAGTCGCTGATTCAGCTCCGCTGCGTGTCCGAATCCTCTTCCTCCCAGGGAGTATCTCGATCTGGCCCATCGTCCTCTACATGTGGACCACCAAACTCAAAGCGGGATCGAACTCATGAACGCCCAACTCCGCAAGAGACACCTCAGGATCTGGGCCTTACTCGCTCCGCTGCTCATCGTCGGCGTCATCGCTGCACTCATCTTCAGACCTCCAAGTCTGCAGTTCCAGCCAGTGACTTCAACCCCTGCTGGAGCCCAGCCATGACCGTGAGCTACACCTGGGTTCAGTGGAACAAGCACAAAAAAACATACGACCTGATCATGCTCGCACTGAGCCTGATCTTCGTCGCGACCTTCATCCTCACAAGCACGCTGGTCTACAAAGACGATGAATCAATCTCCGCGATGATCCTCGCAATGCGAGCGTTCGGCATCCTCGCGATCATCCTCCTCCACATCATCCTCTGCATCGGACCACTCGCGCGCATCACGCCGCTCATGTCTCCGATCCTCTACAACCGCAGGCACCTCGGCGTCATGATGTTCTTCGCCGCCCTCATCCACGCCGGACTCGCACTGCTCTTCTACGGCGCCTTCGGCGTCCGCTCACCCTTCGCCGGACTCTTCGACGGATACCACGCATACACCTCCATCAGCGGCTTCCCCTTCGAGATCATGGGTCTCTTCGCACTCCTCATCCTCTTCGTCATGGCATCAACCAGCCACGACTTCTGGCTCGCCTTCCTCACCCCGCGCCTGTGGAAATCACTCCACATGCTCGTCTACCTCGCCTACGCGTTCGTGCTCCTCCATGTCGTATTCGGTGCGCTCCAATCAGAGCGACACCCCGCACTCGCTATAGCACTCATCGCAGGCGCCGTCACCGTGTCTGCATTGCACATCGTGAGCGGATTGAAAGAAATCAAACCGAGCCTGCAAGCACAAGAAGCAGACGCACCTTGGATCGACATCGGATTGGTCAATGACTTCCCAATGGATCAGGGGCGAGTCGTATGTATCGCGAATCAAGAACGCGTCGCGATCTTCCGTCACAAAGACGGCATCTCCGCACTCAGCAACGTCTGCGCCCACCAAGCCGGACCACTCGGAGAAGGACGCATCGTCAACGGCTGCGTCACCTGCCCTTGGCACGGCTACCAATACCACGCCGACAACGGACAAAGCCCACCCCCATACACAGAACGAATCCCCACCTACGAGCTCCGCGTAGAAGGCGAGCGCGTCCTGCTCAATCCAGAACCAAACCCGCCTGGTACCCCAGTCACGCCCGCAGCCGTACCCCCGAGCACATCCAACAATGAAGCGGGTGAATCATGAGCGAAAACAAGAAAGACACCCCTGAGTTCTACGTCGGATACCTGCCCGTCCCCCGATCGCACAAGCGATTCCTCACAGCCCTTGTTTCTGTACTCTTTCTCGCAATGCTCTCATCCGGCGCTTTAATCGCCGCCGCGCAACGAAACCCAGGCAAGACCGATCAGGTTTCCACACAACGCGCGACCTGGTCAGGAACCGTCTACACCGACCCATACCCCATGATGATCCACGACGACGGCTCCATCCACCTCCTCATTGGCATCGGAAAGTTCGGAGTCGCAGATCGCGTTGCACCTTTCAGTTCCAAGTACTGCGAAGTCGACGGCTGGGCGCTGGCGCGCACCAACCGAAGCGCCATCCAACTCGACATCACTCCAGACGCGATCAGAGAAACAAACGGCCCGATACGTCCAGCACCAACTCTTACTCTGCTCGGCGGCGAGCCTGTCGAACTCATCGGAGAAATCGTCGACGGCAAATGCTTCCTCGGCGCCATGAAACCCGGAGACGGCAAAGCGCATAAAGCTTGCGCCACCCTCTGCATCCAAGGCGGACTCCCCCCGATGTTCGCCGCCTCGGATCAATCGCCCACAACTCAGCTCCCGCTCGTCCTCGTCAACGGCTCCCCAACCCTCTCCCAAAACGTCCTCGAACTTGTCGGCGAACCCATCAAACTCACAGCAACACGATCCGCGCTCGGTCCGATCGAGATACTCAATGTCAATCCTGCGAGTATCCATCGCTGGTCCGGCCAAAATCCCTGATCTGGGTCCAAATAAATCCCCAAATTGAGCTATTCAGAGCTTGCACCTAAACAATGTAACTGTTACATTGGAATCGTCGGGTGCTCAAACTGGCAAATCCCGAGGATCTCGCTCACGCGTGGATTCCCATTGAACTGATCCACAGGAATCCATTTCATGATCCGCACCCTGTTCGCATTCATCGCCGCGCTCTTCATTTCAACATCAGCGCTCGCACAATCCGGCGCGCCAAGCTACTCAGGTGAAGTCTGCTTTGACGGCTCAACCGTCACCGTCAATGTCAACGCCACCCCAACCGCCACCGCGATTCTCATCTACCCAACCCCACCCGGTGGCGGATACTTCATGACCAACGACGGCAGCGGGAACTACTCCGCATCCTTCAACGGCCTCAACGCCGGACAACAATTCACATTCCACCTCGTCATCCAGATCCCAGCGCAATACGAGTTCCAACCACACGCCATCACCCTCACCCAAGGCTGCACCGAGTTCAGCTTCGGTGACCCCGGTGATGGTGGCGACGGCGGAGACGGAGGCGATGGTGGTGACGGTGGTGACGGTGGTGATGGAGGAGACGGCGGCGACGACATCGACCCCGGAGACTTCGGACAAGGCGGACTCCCACACGCACGCGCCTTCCGTCATGATGTCGCCGAAAGCAATGGCGATTGGGCAATCCTCTTTGAATCAGGCGCCCCAGCATCTCCACTCCCCGCAACAAACTCCGTCGATGTCCGCTACCGAATCAACAACTCTGAAATGCAATCCGCATCCATGGCCAACCTCGGAGGATTCATCTGGGGACGCACCATCCCCGGCGCTCAGCCCGGAGACGTCGTCTCATACTCCTTCGTCCAAACCGTTGGCATCGAACCGATCGACTCCGCATGGTTCGAGCGCACCGTAGGTGAAGCCGCGCCACCACTCCCAGAATTCCCGATCGTCACCGACGCCGCACTCCGATTCAGAGACCGCCACGAAAACGAATGGCGCTTCGACCACTACCCCGCCGGATACGACGTCGGACGCACCTTCGACCTCGTCATCACCGATCACGGCAACCGCCTCGACTTCGAGCTCACCACCGCGCCAGAAGTCCCCGTCAACGCCGTGGACATCAAGTGGTACAACCAATCAGGTGAAGTCGGATTCTGCGACCGCAACATCTCCGCGGTCAGCCAGCGCATGGACGGCGGTGGGGGATCATTCACCTCCTCCATCACCAACCTCGTCCCAGGTCAACGCGTCGATGTCGAGTTCACCATCCTCGCCTCCCAAACCTACTACAGCGAGTTCATCTACTACTACATGGGAGACGGCCGACTCCAACGCGAATACCAGCACCCCCTCGCTTACGCCGCCGGAGACGCCTCCATCCCAGTCGTCACCGTCAAGCAGTTCGCGTTCAACCAGCACGCACTCAACCTCCCACCAATCGAGCTCGCCTCATTCATGGAAGGCAAAGTCATCTTCGAAACACGCTGGGACGACGGCCTCCTCTTCAACCCACCAACCGCCTTCGACTGTAACGGTGGACCAGTCGGTTTCAACATGGGAACCAGCCCCGTCTTCGAGCCCGGACTCCTCGGACCGCAGTACACCAATAACTCCTGCATCGAGTGCCACATGCTCGACGGCCGCGGACAAACACCAACCCCAACCAACAACTCAATGGAAGACTACGTCGTCCGCGTCAGCGTCCCAGGTCAACCGGGACAAGCCCCGCAACCCCACCCGCTCTACGGCGAGCAACTCGATATCAAAGCCACCCCAGGGAATGCACCAGAAGGCAACGCCTCCATCGTCTGGGAAATCGTAAACGGCACCTTCGACGACGGCACCACCTACGAGCTCCGCAAGCCAAACTACGAGTTCACCGATCTCCTCTACGGCGAGTTCGGCACAAACATCCCAGGACAACCCGCACCAAGCACCCAAGGCGGACCATACCAAGGAGAAGCAGAACTGTCCGTCCGCATCGCCCCAATGCTCATCGGACTCGGACTCCTCGAAGCCGTAGATGACGCAGAAATCATGGCATGGGCCGACGAAAACGACACCGACGGCGACGGCATCTCAGGTCGCCCAAACATGGTCGACGACATCGTCAATGGTGGCACAGCAATCGGCCGCTTCGGATGGAAAGCCGTCCACCCAAGCCTCAAACAACAAGCCGCCTCCGCATTCGCACACGACATGGGAATGTCCTCCCACCTCATAGGCGACAGCCCCGCCGAGGTCGACCCATGGACACTCGACTCCATGGTCTCATACCTGCGAGGTCTTGCTGTTCCACCACGCGAAAACTACAAAGACCCCGTCGCCCAACAAGGCAAGATCCTCTTCGAAGAAGCAGGATGTATGCAGTGTCACCGCCCCGCGATGCGCACCGCATCCGACGCCGACTTCGCGCCTTACCGCGACCAGATCATCCAACCATTCACCGACATGCTCCTCCACGACATGGGTGAAGACCTCGCCGACAACCGCCCAGAGTTCGCCGCGACAGGCAGAGAATGGCGCACGCCACCACTCTGGGGCATCGGATACGTCGGTCACGTCCTCGGCACCCCAACCGATCCGTTCGATCCAAACGGGAACCCAGCCGAAGCCAACTACCTCCACGACGGACGCGCACGCACCCTCATGGAAGCCATCCTCTGGCACGGCGGCGAAGCCGAACCAGCACGCAACGCCGTCCTCGCGATGGACGCCACCCAGCGCGAAGCACTCATCGAGTACGTCAAGTTCCCATTCATCGATCCAGCAACCATCGCCGAAGAACCACAGTGCGTCGCTGACTTCACAGGAGACGCCCAACTCAACTTCCTCGACGTCAGCGCCTTCCTCAGCGCATTCGGATCACAGGACCCAAGCGCCGACATCACCGGAGACACCCAGTTCAACTTCCTCGATGTCAGCGCCTTCCTCACCGAGTTCGGTAAGGGCTGCCCATGATATGGATGTGCGTGTTGTACCTGTTGACAACTGAGCTGAGCTGAACTTGGAAACAAACCTCTGAACACAAACTTATCGGGGCCGTAGGTCCAGATTCTGATTGTGAGCGATGCCCGGAGCGTGTATTGTTGTAGCAAACAGTGCTCACTTTGGAGACGCTCCTCATATGAAATCAGGATTCGTTCAACTCATATCAGTTACTTTCATGCTGGGCGCTCTTTTGTCCAGTCCCTCACTGGGACAAAGTATCAACGAAGATCACAAACTCGTAGCTTCGGATGGTGCGGTACGAGACTTATTCGGATCATCAATCGCAGTTGACAACGGTATTGTCGCGGTCGGAGCCGAGTATCACGATCTCGATAAAGACAACAGATATGCTGGAGCCGTCTATCTTTACTCTACACACGACGGTCAGGAACTTGCGAAAATCACAGCAAGCGATGCGAGTCAAAACAATAACTTTGGTGACGCCCTCGCTATGGATGATGGTCTTCTAGTAGTGAGCGGGGGCGGCGTATACATAATCGATGCCGCAACTCAGACAGAACTCACATTTCTAATCCCAGACGATGCAAATTCAGAAGGTTTCGGGCATGCAGTCGCAATCGATAATGGCATCGCTGCCGTGAGTGCCTATCGGGACGATGACAACGGCGATGACTCCGGTTCCGCGTACCTGTTTGATGCCGCGACCGGTCAGCAACTCTTCAAACTGCTCCCGGATGACGGTGCAGAATCCGACTACTTTGGGTATTCCATCGCAATCGATGATGGTGTCGTCGCCGTCGGTACCGTCTGGGACGATGATTTAGGGGAAAACTCAGGCGCAGTCTACCTGTTCGATGCATCCACAGGATTGCAGATCGACAAACTCCTCCCCGAAGATGGACAGCCGTTCGACCGATTCGGAGAGTCAGTTGCAATCGCCAACGGCGTAGTCGCAGTCGGAGCACTTGAGTACGAGTTCAGCCCGATCGGACGCGGTAAGTCATACATCTTCGATGTGACTGACGGAACACAAATCGCCAAACTTGTCCCCCCTGAACCCGACTATGGTCCATTGTTCGGAATCTCTATCGCAATCGATAATGGAGTCGTTGTTGTCGGATCAGTCTATGACAACGAAAACGGTTCCAATTCAGGCGCCGCATATCTATTCGATGCACAGTCTGGCGCCTACCTCACACAACTCCTTGCGAGTGATGGTGGTATTGATGACTACTTCGGGAACTCGGTCGCCGTTGATGAAGGCACAATCGCAGTAGGAGCTTG